CCAAACCCAGGATCTGCACCTGTGAACCTCAGGCCGCTGAAGCAGGGCATGCAACCTTAACCACTACGCCACCAGGCCAGCTCGAAATGATAAGTATTTTTGCCAGCCTTCTCAAACAGTTCCTCAAACTGAAAGGATCACTGTTGGTAGAGTTTAATGATCATGTTGTTTGAAGAGTTATTAATTATGCGCTACTTCCTCTTCAGTGTAAGTGCCCTAAGTGTTTTCGTGGACCACTTAAGGAATAAAAAAAAGTGATTCTCATAAATTGTAGGATAATTGCATACTACATTTTTCTCAATAACCTCTTAGCAAAAAAACTAAAGTTTGGGTTATTTGCAAATGTAAGAAAATTTCAAATTGATAGCACTTATCTCATTGTTTTAAGGGTCTGCTTACCTATCTATCTTCTCCATTAGACTACAGACTTCTTGAAGGCAGAACCTAGTTGATTCATTCAGACAGTCATCAGATATTTATAAAATACCTACTATGTGCCAGACTCCCTGCTGGGCACTGAGGATACAATAATAAGCCCTCAGCGAGCTGAGAGTTTTATCAGAGAGAGACGGTAATCTAGTAACATCACCAGGGAGATGAAGGAACGGTACACGGAGCTGTGAGAAGGTTATAACAGCAGGAGGAGGAAGCAAAATCAAAGATGTCAGGGAAGGTTCTCCTGAGAGAGTAATATTTGGGTTGAAATCTGAAGGATGAGCAGTTTACTCCATTATGGGGGTGAGGGATTGGAGAGGTGAATTTTAAGTATGGGGATCTCATTCCAGTCAGCAATTATACCATGTGCAAAGACCCTGGGCAGAAAGGCATACAATACTTTCAAGAAGCAGAGGGAAGGCTACTTAAGCTGAAGTATAGTGACCAAGCAAGAACTTGCTGGGAAATGAGGAGGGAGTGGTACGTGGAGGCTAAACTATGAAACAAAAATGTGGCCAGATTAAGAATTTGATCTTTATTCTAAAGAAATAGGAAGCCACTGAATATATAGGAGAATATGAATATGCAGGAATATGCAGAAATATGAGAGACTAGTTTTCTGGGAAGATATGACGGTTATGGAGTACAATTTAGAAGGGCAAAAGAGGATTCAGAGAGAATGGTTAGTATGCTCTTGGAGAAGTACAGGTGAAAGACACCTGTACATTGGCCTCGGGTGGTAGTAGTGGAGAGGTAAAGAAATTTTCGTCTTTCTACCCTCACAGCCTGAGAGAATGCCTCCCACATAGCAGGACACAATAAATGCTTTTTGACTGAATGCATAAAATGAATGTCATTAAGGCATTAGATTTATTTTCACGTGTAAAAATAAAGCCCTTAAGAAGTCCTGCTGTGCATACACCTGTGGCACTATCACTATTCCTGTTGGAGTCTTAGTTACCAGATTCTGCTTCCTCTAAAAATCACTGAAAGGCTTAAATAGGCTATAATTGGAGGGCTTATGTATTCTCCAATTGCCTCGAGATTAGTAATCAGAATTTTCACTTAGCAAAAGTGGGGGGGAAATGGTGGGATTAAAAGCAATATTTCATTAGTCGACAACAGGTCCTTAAAAATGGCAAATGGAATCCTATCACTTGTCAACCTGCCCGGGTCCTAACCATGTCCTATTTGATTTTCCAAAATACAAGAGTGCATCAACTTACAATCACTAGCAAGCATTTCAGAATTCAAACAGGAAGCCTAAATACAAACAAGATGTTATTTTCCTTATTATTTTTTTCATAAAGTATTTTAATGGATACAGCAGAACTACTGTTTTGTGGGGAATATGGCTTGTCCCTCTTTTTAAAAACCTTACCTTTTTCTAATATAAAATGAAATAGTTTAAATGCCTCAAAAAGAATATATGAGGCATAAAAACACCATTAATCTCTTTCATTCTTAGATAGTGTGCTTCAACGTATAGGAAATATTTTAAAGTAGATAAAAGATATACACAAATATAGAAATTCAAGTTGTGGGAATCTTCACTCTATATATCAGAAAAATCTTTCAACTATAAATGAAGTTTGAAGACATAACTATAATTTGGCAGCCAACTTGGAATAAACCGTCCATTACTCATTCAACCCAACTCACCACAATTACCACCACCAGGACAAATATTTCATCTCTTGACTTATTTTAATGCTCCCCTCTTGTCTCCAGACCCACCTTCCTGACATGGTTAAGGTTAATGTGTATCTTTCCACATCTTTACCTCTGCTCATCAACACAAAGCCCAAGTATTTCTTTGTTAACCCCTCAACTTTCAATTCTACCTTAATTTATTCTTAGTTTAGGTCATGAACAATTTTTGGAACTAAATCAGAACAGGAAAAACATTTTGATCATCAATTTCTTATCTGCCAGAATACAGAAAAATGATATCATGTAAAGGGTGAAAGGAAAAAATAAGAGATTAATATGATTATATACAAAGGACCGCTGAGTATATGCTATTAGGTCTCTCTCTTTAGGAAAATCCATAATGCCATACATGATACATCAAAAGTAAATCTTTGGATTATACCATTTCTGCTTTGTTCTGGAAATGGGTAGATTATAAAGGCTTCATTGTGCATGTACTTTAAATAGCCAAGTCCTCTAGTTTAGTTTTTAGATAATTTGATTTATCTAAATAAAAGCTGTACAAATAAGACTAGGAATACCTTAGATTCAAAAGCTAGGAGGTTACAGTTTACATAGTACTTGAACATTCATTATCTCACATTAGATTTCATACATGCAATAGATCTCTAAGATTAGTAGTTATTTTAGCCTAGTTTACAAATGAAAAAACAAAAGTCCAAATCACTAAGCCAGTTTAGTTATAAATATAGGACTTACATCCAGGTTTTCCAATTCAAAGCCTACTATTCTCTCCAGGACATCATATTAGTGTCTAAAGCCACGTTATAACTGTAATGTGTAAGGTTGACACGTCTAAGGCTTAAAGATTCTAATAACTTGACAAGTCTGTATTAGAGTATGTTTGATTAATAAAGGCCTCTTGAAGTTTGTATTATTTACAGGCAAATGCCAAAGCAAACTTGAAAGAATAATAACAACAGACACTAGAATAATATAAAGAAGGCAACAAATAAACTTTTGAGGTAAAGACACATAGTAGCTCTCCAATAAATTCCTGTTAAAAAAAATAATAGTATTTAAAGGCGAAGAGATTTAAAATATAATGCCTAAATGGAATATTAGAATCACGTAGGGATGGAATGAATATTAAGTCCAGTTCTTCTCCCTTGATAGATGTGATGAGTTATATTATGCATTCATCTTCAATTACTGAACCCTTAATATAGTCAAAAGGAAAAAAGGAGGTTAAAGAAGAGGCACAATTAATCCATGGTCATGGAAGCCTACATATAGCTGCTTTACAGAGGATTATAAAATGGGAAATGGCACCAGGTAGGCTTCTGGGACCCTGGAAACGTTCTCTACCTTGACCTGAGCAAATGGGTGTATATATATGTAAAATTTCATCAAGCTATATCGTCAAGCTCTCCTTAAGATTTGTGTGCTTTGCTCTATATATGGAATACCCCCAGATTTTTTTAAAAAGGGAATTAAAATTATAGTTAGATATAACATAGGAAACCAAGAATTTACAATATGTAATAAGTTAGAAACAGCACAACAGAAAGTATTATTATGCTCATTATTAAAAATGCAAAAACTGCAACTGAGAAATGGCATCCCCATCAGAGCTCTATATAATTAGATAATACTCTCTGAAGACAAAGGGAGAATATTTGAATCTACTGTTATGAGAAGGTTAAGGAGTCCATGAAAATTCTGTCTGAATAACTTTCACAGAAATTTTTCTGTGTTAAAGAGAAGTCAAACAAAAATCAGTCAACTGGAAATTATTCTTAAGATAATTTCCCCATTAAATTTTGGATAACTGAAGCATTAATGCAAAAACTTAGGCAATTTATATGAAACACAACTTGTATTAACTACATTTAAGAGCACCAAATATTGAATATAACAATATTGGAAGCCGAATATAGCATTAAGTAATTATATCCAGAAACTATCATTTCTCATAAAAATTTAGTGTTTTAAAGAACTTAAAAGTTGTTTGTGTATGTGTGTATACACGCACACACACACGCATCTATTCCTCAGTTTATTCACTACGGCTTTTATAGAAATGACTTAATCCTTAGTTTTTCATGTAAATTGAATTTAACTTATCTCTATCAATACACTAAATGTTTTATTACTGAACTTACCCCAATAGTATCTCAAAACCTATAGAGCATGGGGCTAAAATTTGTTTCAGCAGTTTATAAAAGCAGATATAGGAAATGTACAACACAAATTCTGCCAGCTCCTATAGAATCCTAACACCCCACAGCAAGGATAATCTGTGGAAAGTGAGTGACTGCCCTGCATGGCTGTCGAAAAGCAGGTGCATTCAGCTACGTGAATTCTCAGAAACCAACAAAAACTGACTATGGGCTGAGAGGTGCTAGAAAAGTCACTTTTGCCAAGCAAAGTCCTTAGCCTCACTGTCTCTACTATGAAGCCCCAATGTCTGGAATGCAGTTGACATGCAAATCTGTAGTCAAGAGCACTAAAAAAAAATAAATGCAGTTAAAATTTTTTAATTTATAACAGCTCATTATTTAATCTATCAGAGATAACCAAACACAAATTTAAGGGCCCAGTTTTGCTTTACCTCTCTGAAATAAAATATGGCAGAAGCTGCCATTTCCATTCAATTGCTCTTTAATAATTATAACCTTTTGATTTTTCAAATGTGCTTTGGGCGAGTATAAAAAAGTTACAGCCTTCAATTTCAGCATAGATAATACTACTTAAAAATAACCTTGAAGACCTTACCTTGGCCTATGACGACCATGCATGCAGCCATGCAAACATGCATTCATGCAACATAGCAGCACACAACACGGTGCAAAAATGGCAAAGAAAACCAAGTGATGGCCATGCTAGTATTTTTTCAACGGTCTCCTTACCAAATAGTGAAATCCTATGCCTGACAAGAACTCCAAGTTTGCAGAATAGGCTGAAGACAAAAGAAAAACAAAAGAGAAAAGGGAAAGGGGAAGGGAAGGTAGAAAAGACAGGGAGAAAATAAAACAAAACAAAAAAAGAAGAAGAAAAAAGAAAAATAAACAGCTGATACATGAGCCGGAAAAAGCAACATGATGTCACGCAGAAAGAATCAATTCTCTGAGCAGAATGTGGAGTAAAGGTATTAAAGAAAGAGTCTTTGAGTGCATATCTTTAACAAACATGGTTAAAAAAGCACATATTATAAGTAAAGAAACTAAAAAAAAAAAATTTGAAAGCAAAGCTAATTAATATAAAAGCAATCTATATGAACCCCACAAGATCATAACTATTGAAAAACCACAAGGAAAAAAATTAATTTTATCTGCCCAAAAGTACCACAGAAATTCTAGAATTTTTTTTTGTTACAGACATTATTTAACAACAGACGTATGGTGTTTTGGGCATAAAATGTTACTTTATGTTTCAGTATGTTTTATCATTTGAACTGTCCTGCTTCCCAACCTTGACCACACCCCTTACACACATACCAAAGCATCCAGTGAATTTGAGAACAGTGACGTAGAGATAGAATTTGAACAACTGATAATCACTCAGCGAGAAACGTTACAGATGTGATACTTAAAGGGCTCTTAATGCTAATGCATGAACCGAGCATATTTCTTAACTCCTCTAGAGCAAGTCCTGGGGTCTTTGTATCCTTCCTGGAGCCCAGCAAGGGGAGATTCCGAATAAGTGGCCTTCATTCAGCATTCAGCATGACAGCATTGGTATGCACTAACTCTTGATCAGACTCCAGAACCTGGGCAATACCTGCTATTGTCCTGTCTTGTTACCAGGCCTCAGTCTGGTGGGTTCCTTGTAGGTCCCTCTTTTCAGCAGTACCCTCTACTCACTTCCATGCTATACTCCCTTCTACCCATCCCTCAGGATTCAGCTCAGGACATGAAGCCATTTCATGGCTAACACCCACCCTTCACTACTCCCAACCCAAGCTGTAAGAGGTCTCCTCCCAGGGGCCATTTGCAAATCTCTACCATGACACTTAACCTCTCATATTACAATGGACATTATTTTCACATCTACTGACACACTTCTGAGCTCTCAAAGAGCATAGCATAGGCTCTGCACAGCTAGAACATACCAAAGCTCCAAACTTGAAGATCCATTTGTATAACACCATCCACACTCAGCTTGATTTTCCCATTACAGTCATGTGCTGCATAACAATGTTTTGGTCAATGACAGTCCACATATACGACAGTGGTCCCATAAGATTAGTACCATATAGCCTACGTGTTTAGTGCGATGTTCGCACAATGATAAAATTGCCTAAAAACGCATTTCTCAGAACAAATCCTGGCCGTTAAGCGACGCATGACTGTAACGATAACAGCTATATCTAGATTGTCCCATCCTCTCTTACAAAGCTCTCCCATTTCCAGCAGTGTGCAGACGTACACTTGCCAGAACTGGGGATACAGACTATGCCATGGAATAAAATGAAGCCAACAGCCATGGCAGGACAGGAGAAAGACAGAGAGAATCAAATTTGTGATGTTGACCTCTTTTACAGTAAGTTTTAGCCATCATATCTCACTTCAGTAATAATATGGAATAATTTATTGAGGAAAATTAATTACATAGGGCATTGTGTAGCTTTTCCAAGAAAACATTCATCCACAAATTTCTAAGCGAATTTGAGGTCTTGGGAAATCTCTTAGTGCTAAAAGTTTTTAAAACAATGATGTATTCAAGTAAGTATTAGACATAAGATTAGACATTAGCCCCCTGAGCTGCATTATTTATCTTTGTGCTATACTTTAAACAAAAAAAGACAATAAAACAAGAGCAACTTTCTCCAGGTACTCTCATCCACCGAGTGTTATGCATGTCAACTCAACAAGGATCTGTTTCCATCTAAAGAGAGTAGTTACATTGTACACGTTTTGGATCCCTGTATTCCAGTCGATTTTAAGTGATATCTTTTAGCTCTTACTGATACTCTCTAGTATCCAGGGTGAAACATTCTGAGATGTTCTTGAATTTATAATGCTAGGATTATGTTTTAACCCAATTAATCCAGACAGGGAATGTTTTGCTCTGATGGAAAACAATTACTCTGTAACCCATTCTGTTGGATTACACTTAATGTCTAAGACTCTGTCAGAGAAAAATGACTTCTTACAATAGCAGCTCTTCCTAATCTTAGCTATTTCTAGTTAGTAACAGATGTGTCACCAAAGAGAAATACAGAGATATACAAAGGTAGGCCCTCAAAAAACACAAATTATATCTCTTTCTCCTCCTGTGCCATTCACTTTCAGGCTATAGTTTCTGTAAAGCCTATAAGGTTTGATTATTATAGGCTTTGTAGTTTCTCTAAAAGTATTTTCCATAATAATGTTATCCCCTTTCTCTATATCCCTTCATTACTAACACTCTTAAGAATGCATAATGCAGCTACACTGCCTTGGCATTGACTCATTGCCTTGCAATTTTGCTTTCCATCTACTGTTCTACTGAAACTAAATAGCAAATCTAATAACCTCTTTTTCAGTCTCTGTCCTGGAGAGCTCTCTATGGTACCTGGCATCACTGACTACTTAAATCTGTGAAACTCTGGATTCCATTTTATACCAATATTTTTCCCTTCCTCTCTAATTAACCATTCTCTATGTTATTCAAAGACCCACTTGTGAAAACCTCTCAAGTTTTGGTATTCAGACCTTTTTGCTTCTCTCTCCACTCTCCTTTAGCTTCATCTACTTTCAGAGCTTCAAACATTACATGGGTAGAGATAATCTCCAAATATCTCATTTCTTGCCCTGATCTCTCCACCAACACCCAATACGTATTTCCAACTTTCTGCTGGCTATCTCCAGCTGAATGACCTGCCGGCACTTATACTTCAATAAATACCTAAGCAAATTTAACCTCCTCTTCTTAAAACTAGTTCTTCTGAAATTTCTTGGTTTTGCTAGTGACACAATATTGTTCCAACCACTCAGCACTGAAACTTCAGCACCATGTTGGCTTCCTTCTTTCTACTTGCCATATGACTCACTAGCAAGTCATGTTGATTTTCTCTCTTCCATGTTCCCGGCTTCCAGCCCCTCCCTACATTTACACCTCCTCAATATTCCCAGCACTTTACATATGTCTCCCTTTACACTCAACCCAACTTATTACATGGTTAGCTCTATATGCATGTGTCTACTCAGCTGTACTTCTAAGTTCATTAAGTTAGGAACTGTGTTGTTGAATGCGTGTATTTATCCTCAGACCTAGGACAGCATCTTGTACATGGCAGGCATTCAGAAATATTTGCAGAACGAACCCATGGGTAGCACCGCCTGTTTGAGGTAGCACTTCTGTTAGAACAGCCTGCATTGCTGCCATAGCCTCCCAGCCATCTTACTCTTATCAATCCCATTTTTGCTGCCAGACTGCAAAGGACGGTCTGATCATTCTCCTATGTAAAAAGTTTCAATGGCTTCTTAGTGCTAATTAATTAAGTAAAAATCTTAACTAAAAAATTACAAAGAAGAAAGAAAGAAGATACCTTATTTTGGCAGTTAATATCAATTACAATATTCCATAACAAATCTACATAACCTACATTTCCCCTAAATTACCAGCATCTACACTTTTTGTTATCTACATCTAGAAAATATTTCCCTTTCTTAATCTCTGACCTACATATTCTTTAAGATCAACTTTGAATGTCATGACTTCCATAAATCTCTAGCTTGTCCATACCCATCCAATGTGGTCTATTTTGCTTTGAATCCCACAGCATTCCTTGGCTTTCTTCTGTCAGAACTATGTTTATACTCACTAGCTACTGCCAGGTACACCCCTGGAGTGCAGAGACCACATCATACTCTTCTTTTTAGACATGATAGTACTGACTTTAGACACAGAAAATGCTCAATACATAATTTCCAGTGCCAGGAAGTATCCAAACAGCTAATGGAAACAACCTGTTTTTAATTGTGGAGAAGTTAACTTAGACCCACACAACTACTTCTACACACAACTATTAAATACAAATTAAAACTACCATTGCAGTGTTCATCATCTGTATGGAGGGATGCTTGTTTATTCATAGTAGTGGGGCCAGTTTTTTACCTATTTTATTCACTGAAGTTAACATTTAACTGAAGTAGTGAGAAATCAGATATTTATAAATTTCAGTGATTCCATTTCAACATGTCAAACAAATTATTTAGTTGGTTTTTGTTAGTGTAATGATTATGTTGGTTGTTTTAAAACACATTTTTATGATTATAAAAGATTTTATTTTAAAAACTTGGAAAATACATTAAAATTGTAAGAAAAAATCTACAATTCACTACCCAAAGGAAACAACTATTAAAATCAAGTTTATTCCCTACCAGTATTTTTCTATACAAACAAGTATAGGTTTTTCTGAAAATCTAGATCCATACTATTTGAACATATATTTTATTTTTTTAAATGATCATTTTCCTAAGTTATATATTTGTATCCATCATAATTTTAATGACTGGACAGCATTTTGTATGTACATAATTTATTTATCATTACCTTATTCATTTTTTCATCCCTGAATTTTCCTCTCTGAGACTACATTCTACCTATGTTTGGCACTAAAGTACCGTGATGAAATAAATTACTTCTACTATTATGCGTCTCAGTCCTACGTGTTGGAATTTTAAATGATGTATGCTCTTTTTTTAGAAGTGCTAATGGGAGAAGTAAAATTTACCACTCCTCTTTTCAGATGAAGAAAAATTGAAGATGAAATCATTAAAAACATTCTGGTGCAATGTTTGTAGAGAAGGGTCGGTCTAAGGCCCCAAAACTACATCGACTGAGGCTAGCACAGTTTAGTGACGTTCTCCTCATTTAGTCTATGAGGGCTACACTCAGTAAAGGAAAATGAGTTACTTTTGTGGTCAGTGAATAGTTCTTAGAGTAAGACTGAAAATTGAATGGAGATAACAAAACACAATACTGGAGAGGAGAAAAAGTAGAATTTGCATAAATTTCTTTATATTTTTTCCTATATTCTCCCATTGTATTTTCTCCTGATTTATGTAATTAGTGACATCAAAATTAACAACACCCTCTGGGAACAAGGTTTCTGTTATAAAAGGCTCATTGGACCCCGGGGGCACTAGGAGACTTTGCAGCACTTTGGTTCCACGATGTTTAATGATAACTTGGTGTCTTGGCATTTTCTAACTGTGTACACTCAGTTCACAGGGGGATACTGGGCCAATGAAGTGGAGGATTGCACTTGTGAAATGAGCAGGGATGGGCCACTCTCTCTCCCAGGGAAGGCGGAAGGACGGCCATGCCAAAGTGGGGAAAGGGAGGAGATTCCTCTCTTGGAAGGTAACCCTTCATTACCTTCTTTAGGTAACACAGTTTGTGGAAACAAAGCGTGTCATTGGGATGGAATCTCTTGTTATTTTAACTACAATCAGTTTTATCAATTTCACAGGAAGATTATTATTTGATGAAGTTTGGGGACATTTTAATGCTGTTGCAATCCAACATCGCATGACTGGCTACTTACTAGTTGGTAAAATAGACAATAAATTTGAGTAAAGGGATAAGCTTAAAATTCCATGCAAGTCCCCATTCTCAATGTTACACAATGCAGGAATCTTATCTCTTCTTTACCCTCTGGAAACAGTCTGTATTCAATCTCATCTCATCCTATCCAATAGGTTGATACCGCACTGCCATTCAGCATATCATTAAAGTCAAGTCCAAGGAAAGCCTGTATTCTGCTGTATATAGTTTACTCAATTCTATAGAAATATTTTGCAGATATAATCTAAAATAGTGTGGACTCCTGCACAATGTAATAATAGAGAAGTAAAATTGCTCAGGAATTGATTCTCACACATACTAAGTTCTGGCAGAATTTTGGGGAATCAGACTTAAAATCCCCAGCGGAATCAGATAAATCTATGAGAATGCTTAGGTTCAAACATAAATGAGAAAGCATTGCTAAGATGCCGGCGGGAGGGGTGTAAGGGGAAATCTTCACAAAGTATATATTTTTACTTCATTTTCTTCCAAGATTGGTCATTATTTTTTTAAAAAAAACAAACGTTTAAAGTTATAATTTCTGTAAGTGGGATTTTGTCCTTCTGAAAATAAAGGCTGGCAAAAACATTAGACTTGAAGAAATTTTAAAGAAACTAACGTTAAAAGCACCACATATCAAAAATATTAATACAATGATGCATCTCCAGCCTCTACTTGTGGATTCTTCATTGGATATTTTATTCCTTCTATTCAGCATTATATTTAGCGGCTAAATATAAGAAAACTCAACATTTAGAACATGCGTATTAATTTGCAGAAACCATTGTCCTCACAGGGTTTGATTCCAAGAGGACAGGGCCAGGGAAGATGGGTGGGCATGCTTTGCGTGCTCCCCCTTCAAGGTCGTGAGATGCTCTTTCTCAAATGCAAATACACTTAAACAACAGTCTTTATTTTTTTATAGCTGTTTACCTAGTCACCATTTCTTTCTCTTTGTTTGATGCATGTCCTCCAGAACAGAGAGGTCTGCTTGCTGCAGATAAGAAGTATAAACGATGGTTTTTGAAATATTGATCAATTAAAGGAAGAACGACCTGAAAGAAAGGAAAAGAAAACAGATCTACACAGTGGAATCTTTCAGGGGAGAACGAGTGCTGAGGGTCTGGAGCAGCCCGAGTTCTGTCCACATGCAACAGGTCCCCCGACATCCACAGCCATGGCAGTCAGCACCACTTCAGAGTATGCCTCTCTTAAATCTCACTCTGCTATCTCGTCCCTGTGTGTGTGTGTGTGTGCGTGTGTGTGTGTGTGTGTATGGCAGGATGTAATTATGGGGAAACAACAAATTTTCAATGGTTTGAAATTATTTTCAATATTTCTCAAAATGAAATATTCTTAATATTTTCATATAATGTAGTTCAGTACCCAACGAGCTCAAAAATAATCAATGACTACCAGTGACTGAGTCTCTACTGTGTGTGAGGATTGCAAGTGACATACCATCATCTCAGTTATCCTAGTAACTACTCTGTATGGTAGCTGTCATCACCCCTGCTTTATAGGTATTAAATTGAGATGCAGAAAGTGAGTGACTTTATTAGTCACATTGCCACTTAGCTATCTCCACAATGTTCTTACCTGGCCCCTCTCAAAGCCCACCTCTCACTGAGGATGAGGTGCCGGATGATGTGCTCATCCTGCTGGCCTTCTGCCAATCTCTCCTCCTCACCTGTCTACTCACTCCACAAGGCTTTGCATATGCCATTCCCTCTGTCTGAAATGTTCTTCCCACACCCCATAACCTATTCACTACACTCCTCCTGCAGACCTAGCTCAGTGGCACTACATCAGATAAGCCTTTGCTGACCTCCTCAACTAGAAAAAATTTCCATATTCTATGCTCTCATAACATCATTTGCAATTTTACATTTTATATGTGTGATTTTGGATTCATCTCTTTCCCTAAGAACCTAAGAGGTACACAAAAGCAAGAGAAACATTTCTGGTTTTGTTTCCCATTAGAGCCCTCTCCTGGCCTCTATGAAAACTACTTGCTCTGTTCTGTTGACCACGGACTCACGTCGCTTAGGACTTTGTTGGGTCCATAGCAAGCACTAGATAAATATTTGTTGAATAAATCAATGAAAAAAGTAATAATAACTGGCGTTACCAATATTTACATTCAAGTCTGTCTAACTACATTTTTTTCCCTACAATGTGGTATAGCATACTTATATATAATAGGAATATGCAAGTTTTTAGTGATCTTCCTAGAAAGTTGTGACATTGCCTGAACTTAGTGATTGGAACTTAAGTGGTAGTCAATAAATATGTAAATGAATGAATCATAGACTTAGTAGAAGTTAATCCACATTAGGCATCTGCAAACAAGATTACTAGGGGCGCTGAGTACGGAGGCAATGTAATGCAAGAATGTATTTTAAACGTATGATTAGAGGCCATAATTATAGCATTTCTGATCATTGGCTATCAAGGGGGATTACACCCTAATCGAATAGATATCTAGCAATGTGCAGCCCAGGACAAATTTCAGATAATTGACACAGATTTTGAGTGCTATATCGAGTGGAAAAAAAAGACAAGAGAAATTTCCCTTGTAGTATCAGGCACAATTCTGAAAACATATAATAGAAGCCAGATATTAATCAATCGAAATAAAGTGCTATCTTGCAAATGATCTATAATAACCACCAAATGCAAGTATTTGAAATTAAATAGAAATCATTAGGAATTCAGGTTAACTGCAACATATTGTAAACAGGAGAGCTTCCAAAGGGCATTCTGCCTTCTTGCTAGGGTATCCCCAGGACATAGTCTTATGCCTGACACAGACTAGGCACAGAGTCCACAATGAGTAAGTGAACGAACCCAATATGGAGACTTTGCAACTCCTCGTCTCCTTCCCTTATTGGCTAAAAGGAAGTCATTAACGTTCCAGGCATATAGCAAATTCTTGATAAATTCTTAGTAAATGGAATGAATAATAATAATGGGATATACTCTATATATGAACAATTTATGCCCTCTGAGTTTCAGCTTCCTCATCTGCAAAATGAGTCGGACCAAGGTTCACAACAAAGATTCTATAGTAAAGGTTCTTACAATGCGTCCGTTTATAAATTAACTAATACTTTTCCTCTTTATAAAAGAAATGTCCATTCAAAATTTTTAAATCATAACAACATTCAAATGTTAGGAAATAGATATTTTCCTCCTACGTCATATGATAAAGCCAAAAAAAGAGAACTTGGAATCAGACTTCATATAAAACGAAGTCACTTGAGAAATACGGTAAGGAGAGCAGAGCGAGTTAAAATACGATCAAGTACGCTGGAAGCAAATTTATCCCACATGAGTCATGCATTTATTTTCACTCCACAGAATATTTACTTGTAGTAGAACTCACATTTGTAGACAAGTGCATTCTGAAAGGAGGCAAAAATCTAAAGAGTATATTTTGTAAACAAACATATTGAAGCAAAAACAAGATGGATTGTATACTGTACTTTAGCAAAGAACTTGATTTCTTGTTCATAAGGGAAATGTTCTCCTTTGCTTCTGCTGCCACCATCTGTAGATAGGAAGAGTTTTTAGGCACATGTTGCATTTCAAACATTACAAGATATTCACCCAAAACGGAAAGTTTAGAACACATTGCTAAATGTGTTATCCCACTAAACTGAACATAAAAAGCCAACCAAAAATATAAAGGCTAACTTTGGCAGTGTAATTAAAAAAAAACAAGGATTTTAAAAAACACCCAAGTCCAAACAAAAAGCCATTGAGGAGAGTCCATACATGTGGTAATGAGCGCAAACACACTGGGGTAGCTTTGAGATCTTATTGACATGTAGGGAGAAAACTGGAATAGAAGAAAGTAAAAAATCTCACATCTTCTTTCACTGAGAAAGAAGCTCACTGGGATGAGGAAAGTGAATGTAAATTGAGTAAACATAATTGGTTAAGTTTTAACCCTGGCCTCTAACAAAGGTAGTCGATTCTTGGTGGGACTGAAAGTTAAAGATTCCAATATCAATAAATCAATGAAAAAATTGCAGGAAGCCAGCGCCTACGATGAGGGGGGAAGATCGAATTTGTAATATTAGCTTGGAAAATTAACATTCTGCTAAAGAATGAAGTTCACCTATGTCAAAAGTTAATTTCCATGAGCAAAGCAAAAACACTGAGTTTTCCCCATGGTTTAGAAAATGATTTCAAGGTGAAGATTGATGCATTGATTGACCTAATGTATTTAGCTTAGAAGGTGGCCTTTCTCCCCTCCTTCATGAACACAGAGGAGGGTTTCTCGCACATAAAAGAGGTAATAATGAACTATAATAACCATGATGATACGCAGAACGTATTGGAGAGCTAAAAATTTCAGAACTGGATATAAGGTTTTAGCAAAATTTGTAAGCAGAGTTTCCATATTTTATAACAATCCAATTGACTTTTGCTTGAAAAAGTTCTTTTGCAAATAGAAATAAAAACAATTTGAGATATATATTACCAAATCTTAGATGTAATTTCAGAATAATATTTAGAGAATTTAGGTAATATTTTGTAATATCAGAACAATGCTCTTCCTGTGAATAAGTAAAAGAAAACGATGGCTTTTTAACATTTGCATATTTCATTTTTTGTTTCACTATTGCACTAAATCTCTCTCAAGCATATTATGCAAAATGGCAGAATCCATATAAGGGGCTTTCTCATATAAACTAAGTCAAGACAGAATTTTGTTACATAGCTAAATCTGCTAATATTTTGAGGAATTAAAATAGGAAATATCTTTCCTTTCATTATACATTTTAATAAAAATGCTTAAGTGCAAAATGCGAAAAAGATTTGGAGAGAATATGATCTATGACATAATACAAAAATTAGAGAAAGGCATATGCATATTCTTACTGTCACCATTAGCCTATGTCTAAGAATGAATATATTACAGATGTGTTTTTAAGGTAATATAGTGAAGGATAAAACGAAAAAGCATTAGAGAAGTTTTATTTGTAGTAACAATGAAAAATGAAAACTAAAATAAATGATGACATACACAATCCCAACTCTTGCTTCTCTAACAGAGTTCTTGTACATAATTTGCCCTGTCACAGCCATCTGAAAAAGGTACATGTAAAATCAGTAGTTGTAAAAAACCTTATTTTGTTGGGCTATATATTAATCTTGCCTTACTTTCTCCCCAGCAATCTGTTTATAAGATCCTGGACTCTTCGAATTTGCCCTGCAGCAAGATTCTCACCACTCCCTATACACAAACACTGCCCTAGCTGGTTTATTCAGAAACTTGAATACAACGTGAATAAAACCTAAACACATTTTACCTGTCAAAGCTCTTTTTCTGCTATCCATGCAAAGGTAAAAAAAAAAAACAAAACCATACACAATTTTCTTGTTCCCTTCTCCAAATGATTACTCTTTCCTTCCCTCTTCTTCTCTCACTTGCTAAAAAGAAGACTGGATCCCAGAGTTGCTACTCATATCGGAGACTTTTCAATGCGGATCAGAAATTTCAATACTTAACTTTGTGCATAAAAGCTTCAAAAATTCTCCATGGCCTCATTTTTGTTCTTTGGTCAAATTTCACTAATTCAGATTAATTTGGCTACTAGTCAGGATGACTCACAAATCATATTTTTAAAAACCACCATTGTATGAGTTACAAGGAGATTACATACTATAAATTAGTTTGCATAATTGACCTTTGTGAAAAAGATGGTTAAGAAGAGAGCAAAATACAGCATTTGGACCGGAGATAAAGAGGCAGGTTGAAAGAGAGTAAGTTCCTTAAGAGAACGACGCTCAACTGGAAAATCCTTAATCACATTTGGGATACAGGAGCCAGGAACAAGAAAATATCACAGCCTGAATTCATATGAATTTTAATCTGATGCTGTCCCAAAAACTAAGTATAAATTCTAAAAAACCAGCAGCAAAAAGAGCCGTTGGTTAGGAGGGGTTTGTTGATGATGTATTGCTAAGGGATCTAGGACTATGGGCTCTGAGGAAAGGTGTCAAAAACAGAAAGAATGAAGATTAAAAAACAAAAACAGAAAGAGAAACAAAACCTTAAGAGTCAAAAAGAAAATTAAAAAGATAACCACCAGAAGAGCACACTGTTTTTCAAAAGGGACCACACCACATACTTCCTTATATCTTAATACCAACCAGTGGCTGGAAGGTGATCTGACATAAAGGTGAGTATTAACAACTTCAATTTTAATTCACCAATGCTGAGGACGATCACAAAATAACAGAAGTGAGAGGAGGCTGTCTTGATGATCTGTTCTGAATCTAAGATTTAAAATAAGTTCTTTTTGTACTTACGTGGCACTGGGCTAGGTAGGGAGGAGGTCTTTCATTTCACTCTAAGAAGATAATAAAGTATTCTGCATTGCAGATACTCTAGTATAAACGTGTGTCCCTACAAAAACTAAACTCAAAGCATTTAACATTGTCTAGAAATTTTGAGAATCCACTGAGTTTAATATTTTTAAGAGCAGAGCAATTAATTTCATAATGAATGATTTAACTGTACCTTAAATTTTGATGTGCATCCAATGTATCTTTCAAAATGAAAAATCAACGCCAATAAACATTATAAGGAGAAAAGAATTATATGTTAGATTTTTTTTTAAGTTCTCAAAATTTACCCATCCCTAAGAACATGTTTGGCTATTGACAGTTAGGCTCTAGCTAGTACTAGGATGGATAGAAAGTGTTTATCCTATCAGGGAACAGACCATAAACAGCCCAGTAGTCTATGCTGCTCTACACCCTGATGGTGAGAATGTTAAGAATAACAAAAACTGGGCTGTAGTAATAGGATGATGGTACCTACCAAACTCCAGGATATACTGATGAGCTTCATCCACATAGCGAATGAGCTGCTGAAGGAAACTATAGGCAAATCGTTTCTCGATAGAAGGTGTGTCCAATTCCAGGTCCTTGAATCCTCTAGAACAGCAAAAATTAAAATACGGAAACCAGTATCTACTAAGATTATTAGAAGGTAAAATTTTATTAACAAAATTTTATATATATAATACATATGCATAAATTTGGAAGGTTATCTAATATTCTTGTAGGTAAAGGCAAAATTGAGATTTAATTTATAAGGAATACTTTGCATCTGATATAAAACTGTAGTGAAAAACTCTATTACTATGTAATAAAATGTTCCCTTTAAAAAAAAAGAGTCATTTTTGCCTAGAGATTTTGCCTAAATGATGGATGGGGATGTAACATAAGTAGCGAAAGGAACTCAGTTATGTGCAAACAGATAAGGGCATTAATACTTCCGACATGTGTATTCTGAACATGCTAAACAGTAGCTCTAAGGTTTACACAGATCATTGTATTCATTTCCAGCATTAAATCTGATGGGGATATTTAAATATTCAGTCTTATAACAAGAATGTGTAATTGGAATAGGTGTTTTTACCTGGATACAGCATATCCATTGATCTGCAAGAACTTGAGGATGTCCTGTGCTTTTTCCCTGTCCTTGGCTTTCTCTTTGGCTGTCAGTGTATCATAGGGTACCAGCAGGGGGTGGTTTCCACCTCCTAAGAGAACATCAAGATGAGAACACAGCACAGTAATTAGAAAATAATCTGAAATGAGATCCGGTGGCATGTATAACAGGTCCACACTACAGAACTTCTGGTATCCTCTAATGATACACAGAGTATTTAGGACTCATATACGACCCTTCCCTCTCTAATACCTTTAATGTTCCAATTAATTTAGGAAACCTGTTTAAAGAAAGCCTGTGCATATGCCTTCTAAGAAGCAATTAAAACATGAACACACAGGCATTTGTAATATCAGGAGTTGATAACATGTGCCATCACACAAGAGAGGAGAAGAAGCTGTGTTCTCCTCTGCCTTCATACAAGCTCTGAACATGCAGAGTGTAAATATGCACTAAAACGTGCAAAGTTGGATCTAGTAAAATTATAAGGCAAATTTCAAGAGATATGCTTCATTTTCTACCCCACAGAGGGAAGAGAAAAAAATGTCTTAAATATAGAATTTTTATTATGCCTCTTAGATCAGAGAGTACTTTATAGTCACATATTTCTAAATACACAAAACCCATACTTAGATTGCTAAGATAAAAGTTGATCTCTCCTAAATACTTAATAAGAGTATATACATACTTGACTGATTAAAAAATTTTGCAATGTTTCTAGTATACCTATTTTGGTAAGAAATACTAAAAGCATTCCTTTAGATTTAAAAATCTTAGAAGGTATTTAAATTAAAAAAAGACTAATAATGAGAAAACATTCATAGAATTATAAATTTTGTAAAAACTTTTGTAAAAATTTCAAAAAAATGCACTGGTAACTCCAGGTGTAAAAGATCGGACACTATAAAAAATGCTATTAAAGTAGCAGCAAAATGAATAGCATGGTATGCCCCAAATTTAAAGTTTATAAAACATGTATGGGAACGGGAATATATTTTGTGTGGGATGCTCAAATTCCTTGAAACATAACTGTTAAGGGAATCCCAGAAAAAAATAATTGAAAATAAATATTTTGTTTGAATAATGGTGACAACATAGAGTCTATTCAATCAGTGTCCAATATGGTTTAGCCAGGAGCTACTAAAACAATCATAAATGCTGAATTTGCCCTACACAAGAAATAAGCAAACAAAAAGGCAAAGGAGAAAAATGCCATGTTTTCCTTGAGCTTGCTTTGACTGAGAGTGCCATCTACAGAAATGCAATCATGCACTGAATCTCATGACCATTAGGTGACACTCTACATTCATAAATGCAAAGTGACAGTCAAGAGCTACCAAGCCAAGAAATACTAAGCCTATTAAGGAGCCATCGGTTATTTTATAGCATGATATTAATAGTATCAAGTATAATACAATTGTCAGAAGACAATACTAACAAACATTTTGTGAAAAGCAAGGACATAGAATTTGTTACTAAGTGCACTGGGAATAAATTTGACTTCTATCACAATCAAAGATGCAATTTAGTAGGATATTTTATGGAAAAAAATTGTAAATCAAACATCTAATTTAATCATCCTGTGATCATCACCTATTTTGAACTCCACCATTGCATTAGTCGTTTATTCCTAGATAACTATATTAATTTGGCAACTTAATTTGAAATCTACAACAATTTTGGAGTCAGATACTAACAGGTTACTTGTCACTCTGGGGAAAGTGGGGAGAGAGAGAGAGAATCAAGTTTATACTTTCAAATCCTAACAGCACAAAGTACCCTCTGACTCTCAAACACTTCTGAACTTTCAAGTCAGCCAGCAGGCTAGAAGTTATGTCCTTTGCTGTGCCGCTTAATAGCAGCGTGACTACCTTGTTCTTCCACCCCTCATCTTGCCCATTTATAACATCAATGTATGGAAGGGAGGGAAGGCAAGTAGCTACACTTGAGAGGTAAAGGAAACTGCAGTAATTCCTAGGACACTGCCTCAAACATCGAGCACCAGCTCCCGAACTCATTCACGCTAAAGAGTCAAAACTGCTTGATACCAGAGCTGTCTTTGGCTTGGTGACAGATCATCACAGCCCAAAATACTTGAAGTGGTAGTGGGAAAAGAAGACTAAAAAGGAATGCTAGGGCCGGCTCTGTGGCTTAGCGGTTAAGTGCGCGCGCTCTGATGCTGGTGACCCGGGTTCGGATCCCGGGCACGCCCCGAGGCACCACTTCTCCGTCCAACGCGAGGCCGAGTCCCACGTACAGCAACTAGAAGGATGTGAACCTATGACATACAACTATCTACTGGGGCTTTGGGGGGAAAAAACTGAATAAATAAAATCTTTAAAAAGGAATGCTAGTTCTTTATGTTTTTCACTAATTTGGCAGCATTGATAATATTTTTGGGACTTTTACTTCTTTATTTCTATCAATGATAGGCTCCTTATGCTGATTTCCCCCCCAAAAATTCTCCTAGATTCTTAAAGCAGGTTGAGAGGGCACCGAGGAACAGACGATTTAGGAGAGCAGAAGAGGACATTTTCTCCAGACTTTTCTAAAGCAGATTAATCTTCTGCACAAAGATGCAGGGATGATAAAAGAGCCCAGGATAGGGTGGAAACTAAGTCAGCCTCAGCACTGGCTCTTTTAGGCATCTAGGTATCTGACTGACCAAATGGTGATTTCAAGTTTCTCCTTATTCCTGACTTCCTGTGCTTCTCTCCTGCTGTTTCTCTCCCTCTCTCTTTCTCTCTCTCACACACATACACACACACACACACACACACACACACACCCCCACCCCCATAGGCTCCAAGACACAGGGTGGGCGACAGGCCCACACTCCCACCCAGAACTTCTCGGAATTGGAAGGAGAGTTGTCAGGACACAAGTTGGCTGTTGAAATCTCCAGGAGAGAGAACAAATTTGAGAAAACACACAAGTAGTTTCTTTCCTAAAATTGTCCACAGTCTCTAGCCTATCTTCCTTCCCAAACTCATTTCTCTGTTTCCTTAGTCTCAATAACCTAAAAGCCAAGATCCAGTGTTGTATATTTCAACACGTTTCCTACTGGTTTGCTGTTTTGGTCCTTAACAACTTACTTTCTCCTTTAAAAAGAGAAGCATGTGTGGAATAAGAAGAATGATTGGCGACTTTGAGGACTAAGTTCACTACCTCGCCTTTTAGGATGCTGCAACTATGATTGTCTTCCAACCACACAATATGAATTGGATGCAGAGATACAGATGTCTCATTTATGAGCAGCATGCTTTAAAGAAAACATGGACTATAAGACACCTAATGGCTGGCCCAGAAATTCAAGAACAATGATGATTTTCTAGCATACTTATTTAGAAGAGCAGTAACAAGACAGCAGCTTATTACTGTTAATTTTAACCAAACCATAGTGACTGAAACATACTTTGAAAAAAAGCAACAGATTATTTTCATGTAATCTGCTTGTGTAACATAACAAATAGTGATTTTGTCTAACAGTCTTGTGGACAATGTCCCTCCAAGAATTTCACTAAGCAAAACTCTGTGGTTCTATGACAGCCAGCCAGCCAGCCAGCCAGCCAGCCATCTGTCAGCCAGCCAAGCAATTGATTGTTCATTTAACAAACATTTACGAATCTTTCTAGAAAAACAGGCCTAGGTCTGAGCCAAATTTTATAATAGGCAATTTTGGTATACAGAATCCTCTCCATTTATTTCTATGACCAATTCTAATTCGTGTTGCTCTGTTTCCTAGTGTTTGGTGCCTGGTACCATTCTTCAATATCACACCTATTCCTTTCACCATGAAATATCCCTACACTTCAAAATTATCTCTCTCTATATTCTTATCTATAACAACAAATAAGAAATAGAGAGTTTCTTGGTGCCGAGAACTGTACAGCAAGGATTATAAAAGTAATAGAAGTTGTGGCCCTGAACTTGAGACAATTATATTCTCACTGGGGCAAAGAAACCTACATAGGCAGTAATTAAAGAGAGGATACACATACACACATACACACACTCACAGACACACATTATAAATAACATGTGTACAGTCTAATGCTGAAGAAATAACAATGAAAGAGATCATCAGTGTAGGATGCATTAAATTGTTAAGAAAATATTTATGCAAATAAGAAATGATTTGAGGGCCGGCCCGGTGGCACAGCAGTTAAGTGCTCGAGGTCCGCTTCGGCGGCTCAGGGTTTGCAGGTTCGGATTCCAGGTGTGCACCAACGTACCACTTGTCAAGCCATGCTGTGGTGGTGTCCCATATAAAGTAGAGGAAGATGGGCAAGGATGTTAGCCCAGGGCCAAGCTTCCTCAGCAAAAAAGAGGAGGATTGGCATCGGATGTTAGCTCAGGACTGATCTTCCTCACAAAAAAAAAAAAAAAAAAAGAAATGATTTGAGAAATGAGTAAGAATATTAGGTCATTTTAGTATTTTAAAAAAACAGCAGAAAAGAGCAAGCAAAAGCAAGTAAGGGACAATAACATAACTGGACTAAACAAAACAGAGAGGCTGAGAAAAGAAATAAAATAGGATGCGATATGAGAAATATTTAAGTTGGGGTGGAAGCCAATGAGGGAGGTCTAGGTAATTAATAGAACACCTCAGAAATTAGGATGAGGAGTATAGATCTCTACATGATAAAATAGGCAAGAGAGAGCCATAGAAATTCTGACACATGAGGAAATATACACTAGCAGTGCAGGAAATTATAGAATTTCCAGCTTAAAACTGTTACAGGCATATTTGAACCATTCTAATAAAATAAATATAGAATGAGATCTTGTGCTAAAAAGACTATTTTACCACATCACATATTCATGTAGTCACACTCTGATATTTTTTAATGACGATTTTTAGAAAATGTTACCTTTGGACTCCAGTTCCAGTTTCTTTTTCTTTGCCCATATATTATGGTAGTTTTCGGCCATCATTTCTGCCATAGCCTTAAATGAATAAAATATTTAGCAACTGAGTTATAATACGAGTAGAAAAGGACAATGTTGCTTTCTAATACATAACATCAAAACATGCTTTAAATTAATAAATCATAGTGTGTTAGTGCTAAAATACATGTAAAGGATAAGCAAACACAAGTTTCTCATTTGGAACGTGAACCCCAGAGAATTCTATTGATCTGCGAAATTATGCGGTAGGAAACAGCAGTGTGATTCGATGGAATGGTCACTGTTACTCATAATGTTTACAGACATGTTTTATTAATTCAATAATGAAACTTCAAATTAGTTATGAACTTTAACAAAAAAAGTATGCATTTACAAGTTCTTATTTTAATTTCCAAAGCTTTAAAAGATGATCTAAACTTTATTGAACATTGAACGCAAAGAACATTAGACAGATAGTCTAGATCAATGTCTGTCCCATACCAGGTGAGACACCTTGGACGAGCCACATTAACCTTTCTGTGGCCTTTTGGATTCTGACATGATTACCTCTAAGATTCTTTTCACTTTTGATTTTCAAGTTTACTATGTCACTTTAACACATTCATACAGGAGCAACGACAAAGGGCAAGCCAAACAATTTACCAATACATAGATTTTATCTTTATATACTTATTTCTCCTGGAATAGTACTAACAATGCCAATATCATTGTTTGATCATTATGTTGACTGTTAACTTATGTTCCATGGCAACAAATTTTATCTTTCACTCAAATCAGCCATTTCAAAGTATGTTCCTTACTGACAAAGGAGAACAGATAAAACTGTGGATGGAGCAAGCAAAACGTCATCAGTTTCCCTAGATAACTTAAAATACATATTCTTTAATAAGTAATTAAGGTGATCCTTGAGCAGAGCATTATTAATTACTGATTTACTCTCTTCTCACACATAGCTATTTAATTATTATATTAGGGTTTTTTAATGCATATTATCTTTAAAGAAAATGTGTTATCTGGAGGAAACATTCTAGAAAAAGTTATATCAACTTTCATAGCATTAAAAAATTGGGGTATACAATCTATAAATTTCTATGGACCCTTCATATGATTACCACATTAAAGAAAATCATACTGCAAAATATATGCAGGAAAGGGTTAGAGTATGCTTTTTAAAAATGAAATTTGCAGAATATTTTTAAAAGTTAACAGTACTTACATGCAAGTCTCTGGATAGCGTGACATTGCTCATGTCAATGGCTCGGGGGCTATAACCATGGGCAGCATCTATAGAAACCTAGATAATTTATGTGAAAAAATAGTGTCTTATTAAAAAAACCCAGTGGGGAGAGACTTAAGAGATACTTTAGAGATATAATGCAAACAAACTTCCAAACATAACATTTCCTCAGATAAAACTGGCAAATATCTACACAAACTGATTTTGCAAATGTATCCAGCAAATTAAATTATATTGGGTGTCTGACAATTATTTATGATTGAATAATACATCCCAATATCTTAGAGATTGTCAAAAGCTAATAATCAGAATTCAACCAATTGTGCAATGAATCCAAGATTCTGAAATATTACCTGAGTCAAAGAATCATTGTATTCTTGAGTTTCTCACAAATTCTAATTGGCTGCAATGAAATTTACTCTTCCTCATGCAAACAGTAGTTAATCAAAAAGGTCAATATTTACAAATGTCTTTATGGGCCAAATGTTAAGATAAAATAAAACCTATTTTTTAATTTTAAAAGTACATCAGATAACATTCAGTGATTTACAAAGATATCCTCAATAACCAGAAGACTTCCTTAATTTCTAAATTACGGCATTTTAAAAATGAAACATTATCTTCTCATCAACTGTAAGATGGTCTCACTTACTGTTCTGAGCTTTTACCTTATTCCACCCAATGACAAAGAGTATCATAGAAATGAGCTCTGGTTCATGCTTATAAATCTAAAATTATACCTTGACATATTTCATAATCGTATATATTCTCTTGTTAGAAATGGATAAACAAAAAATAAAAGGTACAATATACCTTATATCCATGCTTGTAAAACAAAAAAGAGGCTATCATATGCTATCATTAATAATGGGCCATGGGCTATACTGAATTTACTGGTCAGTTTTGACTGAACCGTGGCTTCTGTGTCTTCACCACTGCTCAGTATCATTTAATAGTGGAATGTGTAATAAAATAACATTTTTTTTCTCCTTTAAATATTCCTGAAAGGAAATTGAGACTTAGAGAGCTTAAGTCACTTCCCCAAGGTCACAGAGCTAAAAATCTGAGCAGGCAGGATTCCAAGCCCAACTGTCTGACTACAGACCTACTTCTCTTTCCCTGTCATGTGACCTCGTATACCCTCAACATGTTACAATATACTTCTTTCCTCACTAATCTACTACAACTGTCTTCTCAAATGTTATCAGTTTCCAAGTTGCTAAATTCAAAGTCCTCTTTCCAGCTACCATCAAACTGGCCCTTCTAGATTTCACACTACTAACCACCGCTCACCATCCTGCTCGTTTCAGGAATGCCATGAAACCACCCTCCTGGCTCTCTGCTCAACCTTTCTGACCTCTTTTCCTCAGATTCTTTCTTTGGCTCCTCTTCCATAAATCACATTTAAATATTTGTGGTTTTCCGAGCTCACTCTTCAGTTGTTTCTTTCTTTCTTCTAAATCTTTCTCTAGGTGTCCATATCCATACCTACTTTAAATATTTAACTTATCAACCATTTTTTAATAAACCAAAAATCAATCAGTCTAGCCTAACATTACTCCTGTGCTCTAGACTTAAGTTTTCAACGATTCATTACCATCTCCATTTGACATTCTATATCTGTATTAATTTTATATTATTATAAGAGATCACCACAAATTTAGTGGTTTAAAACACCACAAAGTTGTTAGAAATCTGACACAGGTCTCAGTGGGCTAAAATCAAGGTGTCAGTAGAGCTGTGTTCCTTTCTAGAGGTTTTATGGAAGAATCTTTTCCCTGTCTTTTCCAGTTTCTAAAGGTCACCCACATTTCTTGGCTCATGGCTCCTTTCCTCCATCTTCAAAGTCAGCAACACTGCATCCCTCTAACATTTTCACAGATTCTGGCAATTGGGGATCATCTTTGCGAGTGATAATTCTGCCTAACAAAACATCTAAAATCAAATTCGTTATTCTCTTCTTGTGTTACCCTAGAACTGCTATGTTCCCTACCTCACCTAACATAACCACCCACCTGGTAGCCTAGTCCAGATCCATGGCAAAGCCTTTGATTACTCCTCCTCATCCCCTATCATATAACCAGTTAGTCACAGAATTCTTTCTCTTCTACTTCAAAAATATCTATGGGACACATTCACTTCCTTCCATTTCCACACTTTTGCTCTAATTCAGATATTTAATGTTTTAGTTTTGTTTTGTGGGATGTCTACAATATCCTCCTAAGGAATTTGTCTTTCCACTTTCAATCTCCCCATTCTCTGATTCATTCTCTATTCTGTTGTCAGAATTATATTTCTAAAATATTTATTTTATTATTCCTTGAGTTATAAGCCTTTCTACTGTACAATAGAAATCTGTAGGCATAGGCTGAGCCTTATTCATGTTAGTATTCCCAGGGTCTGGCATAAACCATCTTTCATCAACTTTAGGATTATAAAATCACTCCCAATCTCACAGATATTGAAATATGGCAAATGTGTGTCTTAGAACTGATTTAAAAAAAGTATTAGACTCTTTAAATTTTGTTGAATAAATGAATAAAATCAAGCTGATATCAATAACTTTACTTGTTTCTAAAGTAAAATTCCCCATATTTAATTATCCTTTTAGACCACATTCCTTATATAACTGAAATTTTATACCCTTTTAGCTTTAGATTAAGTTATTGAGGCTGGTGTAAAGAATGTATAAGTAGATATTTGTTTATTCAGAGACAGATTCTTTTTATGTTCTTCACGACCTGCTTTTCTCCTTTACATACATAGAATCAGAAGTCTGGCCAGGTCTTCTATAATTTCAAGTTACCTGGCTTATGCACCATCTCTGAACTAGGAGCTTTAATGTTAACTTAATTAACTCTAGTCTTATTAGCAATAATAATAATAACAACCACCACGTGAATAGTTATGAGCAAGTCACATAGATTATCTCATTTAATCTTTAGAACAACTCTGAAAAGCAGATATTACTTTTCACCATTTTAAAATGAGAAAAAAGAGGTCCAAAAGAATTAAATAATTTTAAAAGTCATGATAGCATGTAAATGGTAAACAGCAGAATCAAGTTCTGAAAGTAATTTTGTCTGACTCCAAAGCACTTATCGACTTTCTTAAAATGGCCCCCATTGTCCTCGTGACTTGGCTCCTGAGACCTCTCCACCCCTCTCCTTGTTACTCACTCAGCTCCAACCTCACTGGCTTCCTGGATCACCCTCACACATACCAGGCCACACTCCCAACTTATCACGTGTGCACTACTTGGAACATTCTTCTCCCAAATCTGTATAACTCCCTCACCTCTTTCAAGTCCCTATTCAATTTATCTCTCTGAAGATCAAATCCACTCTGATAACCCTATATAAAATTGCAACTCATCCCCAAACACTGTCGAACCCCCTCCCCTCTGCATTCCCAATCTGCCTTTGCATGCTAAGTTTTCTTTTTTCTATAATATTTATCATATTTTGACATATTCTACAATTTACTTATATCTATTGCTTACTTTCCCCATTAGAATGTATGCCCCATGAGAGCAGAGATGTTTGTCCATTTTGTTCATTGATCTATCACAACAGCTTAGAATAGTGCATGGAACATGGTAGGTGCTCAACAAATATCTATGGAAGGAATGACTGAATCATTCCTCTCTCCTGGCCTGCATTTTAGTTCTAGATGGGTAACACGTTCCAAAGTTTCATTCCCATCTCCCTCTTCCTCCCAGGTTACAAGCTTAATTTTTTTTGAGATACTATGAAACTTTACTTGTCCCCCCCCAGATTTTGATATTTTACCACACTCCAAATACAGAAGTAACTTGATCAGCAATTCTCTTGTGCTTAATAATTACATCTTCAGCACAGACTATCACAGACATTGAGGTTATAAGCTTATTTTTTATTTGTGTAAATAGTTTATACTCCACATTCATAATATTGAAAAACAGATACAGGATAAGAAATTGGTGGGGGGGGGCGGTGAGTAAATAAGTAATTATTGAGAACCTATGGACTATTCCTGAGATTGTCAGAAATGTCTCTTTTCGTGCTGACTTTTAGTGATCACTACCAAGAAATCAAATCCACCCATTTAGCCCTTCTCCAATTAGCCAGCATCTCCTTACTTCTAATTCTGTCAGCATTTATATATTCTATCCTATATCCTATCAAGTTGCTATTGGTTTTGTCCATGCCCTTATGCCATCTTAATAAGCAAATTACAAAATCCTAATTGAGTGGTAAATTTCCTGAAATCATGATTCATGTCTTCCTGTGGTGTTCATGGTAAACCAAAGACATTAATAATGTCACTGATCCACATAAAAATAATAATGCTAATAATTAGGTCTAACATTTATGGAAATATAGGCCAGTCACTCTTTTAAGTGATTTATAAGCATTATAACATTTAATCCTCACAATAATCTTTTAAAGTAGATGCTCTTATCTGCTTCATTTTAAAGATGAGAACTCTCCAGCATAGAGAGGTTAACCAGTTTGCTGAGTTCACATAGCTAGCTACTCAGTGGTGAGGCCAGGATTTCAACCCATGCGGGTTATGCCAGATCCTGCTGAGTTAAACACAGGCCACTTCTGGCTCACAGAGGGAGTGCTGAGTCCCAGTGGAAGGAAGCTGAGAATATCAGGCTCCAGAATCATGTCAACAAGTGATCTCAATTCATCCACTTATAGTGCTTACTATAAACTGATGCCATAAAAGTGTTCCTTACTTTATTCTAAAGAGTGTATATATTACATAATAGAAAGTACCTTTATAATCACCTGGGAAATCAGTAATGGAGAGAAGTTACCGAGAAAAGAAAAGAAGTTTTCCAAGATGATATTTGAAAAAGAGGATAATAATGTCAGATTAGTAATTAAGAAATGACCATCTATTTCAACATTTCAAATAATGTTGGTTTATGCTTAAAGAACATTGGAGTGAACATCTGAGTGACAAGGATTATAAATACATTTGTGGCATTGGTTGGATTTTGCTCTCCATTTCTGAAACTGATAGAAATATTCTTTCTTTACTGCTAACAGGTCAAAGTAATACAAACACAAATACACTCTTTTACTTACCATTAGTGAAATGCTCTCTAGCATTAAAAATATTTAAATAATATTTAAAAAAGCGATAATAAGTGATATCATTTACTGAGGCAAACAGATTAAGTAACACGCCCGGTGGCACATTTCTAGAAAGTGGTGGTCTCAGGATTGAAGCCCCAGTGGTCTACCTCCAGAGTCTTCCCTCTTAATCTACACACAACCCCTCTGGCATACTGAAATCACATAGGAGATTTAACAATATATATCATGCATTACACATGTCACTCTGAAAATCAGTAAGACTTGAGATGGCTATATGAATATCAGTTGACAGAATCTATTGAGGGCTTAACGTGCACTGAGAACTATATTAGGAGCTAAGGGGGGAGTAAGGAAGAGAGGAAATAAATACAAAATTTACAATTTTAAATTAGAGCACATAATTTTTGCTATTAAGGGCAGTGGGAGAATCTATCTTATTTTTCCCGGCAAAACTTCAAGTTACCTCCTTTCTGTAGTAATTTCCTTATTTCTCATCTAATTTACAGGGAAAATAAAGAGACCATTCCATTCTCTGCACTCTGCAGTACCTGTACATACCACTAGTCTAATCCTTACTGTACGATGTGGCAGCAGGTTTAACCTGACTGTCTGTAACACCAAACTGCGAGTCTTTAAGATTAGAACTAGATCTTATTATCTTTGTGTTCCTATTGCCTAGTTACACAGTTTATGCTCAGTATTTGTTGAAACAGATTAAAGCAAAATGTAATCTAGTTAGAAATGTGTGCACACATGATAAAAAGGTAAATATGCATTTACAGCTTCCACTCACGATACTTATTTAAGAGAATTTAACGTAAAATATACCCAAAACAGAACTTAGTCTATTTAAAAGTATATTTCAAATACGAAGTATGTAAAGCACATGCTTTGAGTACCCTCATTTTCTTTTTTCAAAAGTGTAATCTGTATAAATGGCAATAATAAACACAATATTTTGTGTAAACCAAATACAATGGCCTGAGCAGTCTAGAAAAGGAAAATGACAGGTTTATCTCCCAGGAGAAATGAAAGAGCCAGAGACAATAGTTGGTATTTGGTCACCATCTTGAACCACAGGTTCTCCAGGTCCAGGCTGTGCCTTACTCTGCCACGTTGAGCATTGAACCCCCACAGCTAGCACCTTGCTAAGTATACAGCCTCCCTTGGCATGGCCCACTAATGATGTACTCTCTGAATTTTTGCTCTGCCTGTCTGGTTGCTTATCTTCCCTTTGCAAGTGGATAGGTGCTCAAGTTCCCTGACTTGGAACATCTATGTGGGTTCTAGATCTCGATCACTACTGTCTGACCACCTCACTGCTCCCTAAGAACCAACCTTCAGTTCTTACTGGCAAGGAGACAAAAGCTCTATAGACAATTGTAGGTAATGAACACATCCTACAGCCTTCATTAGTAAAACTTGAAGAGCTTACCATTGGGTGCTCCTTTATATAGTAGCCAGGAAAAGTACGACCTGATATATAAACTCCAGTACTTTAACCAAGACTTAGCTTCACTTAAAACTAAAGAAAAAGGAACATGGATTTTCCCCTTCTAAACTTTATGTTAGTCTTCAGAATTTTCAAATTATTTGTTTTGGAAAACCCAACAATTAAAAGATTACACATAAACCATGGATTCATGACTGCGATTCTTACCTGGCTTGTCTGAGAAATACGACGAGTCCGGTTATAAAGGGCCATGCTGTCTCCCTCCCGTGTTCTTTCAATTCTCCAACCCCAAGCCAGCATCGTTTTTAAAGATTCTTTGATTGGCCAGCGATAAATTTCTTTTTCCTAGAGACAAAAAGGAAGAGTAAAATAACAAACAAACAAATAGGATATTATGAACCTAAATGAAAATAAAAAATATTTAATGCTTTGTTCTGAAATAGACTGCCTTCATTTAAAAAAAATTGATTGGCTTTGTTTATTTAAAAACAAAAAAGAAAAGTAAAAATTCTGAAAAGCAGAATGTGAGTTGAGATCTAGTTTGACTAATGCTGCTAAGAGGGATCCTAGCTTATTATAGAATGGATGTTAATTTCCTTTAGTTTCCCAGCTCCTGAGACTTTAGATAGAACCTAGAAAGGAGAAACACAAGTAGGAGAAAGTGCCAGGTTATATGATATGTGTGTGAAGGCTTTTCTACCATCTGAATAAATAGAGAAGTAACTCTTCCTTCATAAACACCAAGCTAGAAAATCCTTCTCATTTCATTTGTCAAGTTATTGACTTCCTCCCAAAGAAGTAAAATATATTAAAACTCACAAATAAGCATATTAAAATATTATTTCATTACCCCTCATCAAGAAACTCTTAAGAATGATAAGAATATTTTTGAAAGTTCTTAAAAATATAGGAGAGGAATAAAAACCAAAAAGGAACCAAAAAATATTGAGTAGAGAAGATAATAACCAATTAAATTCTGACAGGAAATGGGAATAGAGAGAAAAAAATAAAAGATAAAATAATGAGAACTTTGACTAAAGATAAAAATAGTATATATAAAATAAAGAAGACATGTTAATAAAAAATTATATAACAAAGAAAAAATTTTCAAAAGAAATTAAAACTACATAACCTAAAAAAAAAATCCCTCACCTTTTCAGATAATAGTTTATATGGCTTCATTAATGGTTGAACTTTAGATGAGTCTGAATATATTTCTCCATAAATCCATCCATTTGCCAACTAAAACAGAAAACAAACATCAAAATTGTTTTATGTGTATTAGTTTTAGAGAGTGTAAATGTGCACGTGTTTAAGCGTGTATTTGGTAAAATAAATCTAAAATGAACCAAAATAAGAATTAAGGTTTGGATTTTATCTGGCATAAGTCCATATAAAGATTTCCACCCTAATCAATACTATTTTGAGTACTCACCTGGAACAAATCTTTTTATCCAGAGATTAAAAACATCCAGTTTTCCTTACACAGACCCAGGCCTGTGATTGTGTCAATAAACCCTCCCCTGGGAGGAGACTACAGGCCACGAGGCCTCTGTGATATTTATTCTAGCACAACTTGGGACCCTCACCAGTGACATGTGTATGTGAAACGCTCCTTTTAAACAGTAAAACTGGAGTATGCTCTTTTTTTTGGAAGCTTCCCTGGAGAATGCTACTTGCTGTGCCCACTCCTACATCCAATTCTCTCTCAACACATTTGTTCCAATTATTTTGCCCATATAATTTTGTACATATCACCGTTTCCCTACATTATTTCACATCTGCCTATGGAATCTGGGTAACTAGACTGGAATAAATCAAGACAGTCTTCCAGTAAACTTCCTCTCCATCACCACCCCCGCCAGCTCAGCACCTAATAGTCTTCATGTAAAACAGACACTTAACTCTCATTGACTTACCTAGTAAATCAATTAAATTACTGAACAGAGCCACAAGTTTATCAAAACAAAAAGATGGTTTCTAGAGGGAGTAAGGGACTGGGTTGGTCAGGGCATGGACTGAAACTTCATGTGAAGTCTAGCAGAATGATACTGAGATGCTATAGAACATGTGTCTTTTGGAACCTTTGCTGTTTGATTCTCACTTCACCAAATCAGTACGTGCCTATTTTAGATTCCTGCATCATCTCAACTCAGTTTCTCTATTTTAACCATCTTCTCTCAAGTTTAAATGAGGCTCAACTTAAATGAATTTCTCAGGCATAAGACATGTCACAAATTGCCACTGCTTTAGTCATTTCATTTGGGTTGGTTTTTTTTGACAATACAAATAAAACATGTCATCTAGCCAGGTAATCTATGTTTAGTGATCTGCAGATCTACTTAGTAATAAGAAATACAACAGAAGAGTAGAAGGTGTAAACAATCCCTAAATACTGATTAATAATTTTAAAGATTTTATCCAATATAAAATTACACATAAACCTAAAGTTTCCTTAAAAGATTTCTGGACCCAGAGTCACCATTTCTTCCTGAAGCCCCTGATGATTATTGTTTTTACTCCCATGAACAATGTGCATTTAGAAACTATACTTATGATTTAATTAATAGATTTTTTTGAATTCTTAAAACTGCACTTTTTATGAACACAAATACTCTTATTCATATATGTATCATACATGCATTAAGGCAGAACTAGCTAAATATTATATCAGCATATTGTAATTAAATGTTGTTTCCTAATCTAGATAAAGCTCTCACTTAAAGTAGACAGTTGTCACAGTCAGAAATATTTGCACAGTGACCAGTCATTAGGCAGGTTCAGTACTGAATTAGAATGGGACACCCCAACTTTTACCTTGTCCATTGACCATCTGTCATGGGAATGTTCTGCATATTTGTTAATGAAGTATTCCAACTTCTCAGGAATTGTAATACTATGAGAAAAATAAAGGAAAAAAAGCTTCATTTTCATAGGATTTACAGGAATCATATTAATCATTTACTCATAGCTTATGACTGCTTAAATCCCATTTGATGCATACTGTTAAAAAACTGTTTTAACAAGGTATTACTTTTCCATATTGTAGGAACAACATAAGAAAAGTCAAGCAGATAATGTTCTTTCCACTCATCTTATACTGATTCATACTTTATTATGTCTTAATATGTTATATATAATAAAAATCATAGATAGTATAAGCAAAAATAATTAAAATATATTCAAAGATGAATATATTATAAACAGATAATACCAAAATAAACAAATTATACCAATAATTGGTATATAAATAGAATATAAACAGATTATACCAAAAAAAGTTTAAAAATCTGACTCAAGATATGGTTAGAGTCAACAAGCTTCAAGACATATTTCTCTCCCATATTTGTTCTTTGAAGTTAGTCTCCCTTTATGACTTCACTCTTCTGCCACAAATATAAATTGGTAAAAGACTGCTGAAATCTGATCTGTTACTTTTTTGTGTGTGTGAGGAAGATCAGCCCTGAGCTAACATCCTACGCCGATCCTCCTCTTTTTTTGCCGAGGAGGATTGGCCCTGACCTAACATCTGTGCCCATCTTCCTCTACTTTATATGAGATGCCACCACAGCATGGCATGACAAGCAGTGCGTCAGTGTGCACCTGGGATCCGAACCCATGAATCCCGGGCCACCAAAGTGGAGCGCGTGCACTTAACTACTTGCGCCACTGGGCCGGCCCCCTACAATTTTTTTAAATGTACTAAAATTTTAAATTAATTTCATACAACTAGTGATGTGTTAATGATTTTAAATATTAATGATCTATACATAATATTCTAAATGTTACTAATATGGACTATAGGGAAAAGTAATCAACCAAATCATGCTTTATGATTTTGATAACATTTATTCTTGATTCCTTTCATGTTTAAATAAATACTGAATCTCTCGAACAGATGTTGAGTGCATGCAAGTGATGACCAAGTCTGATGGTAAATGTAAGACTTGGGAATATCAAATATACCTATGAATGGAAAAGTAATTATATATATAATTCCATTCATTAATGAATATAACTTATTAACACAATTAACTTCGAGACTAGAATTCTATTTAAAACCTAGTATTAACGACATGGCTTACTGCTGTTTTCCAGGAATGTTATCAGTCAGCAATTGAACTGTATGACATATACATACTTAAGAAACAAAGTTGCAGAAGTTATTGATTTCACTATGTAAACCCAATCTGTTAAGAAGTCCCCAAAGGGGCAAGCCTAGGCAAATAAATAGACATGCCCAACGCTTGTTAATTAATTAAATTAATTAATTAGATTAATGAACCAAAACCATCACGTTGTTCTGATGTTATTTTGTAATCCTGGATTATATTGTACGTTAGCAAACCACAAACTTACCCATGTAGGAATGTGAACATGTGATATTTTGGTTTACTTACTTTGGAAGAGATACAAAGGATCAATCACATAAGCCAAATACTGGGGGGTAGAGTCTTTTCTCACAGGACTGTCCTCAAATACCAAACGTGCAAATTTAAGGCATTATCAAACTAATGGCATACCATTGGGGTTATAATTTTGATCTGGTTATGGAAGCTAAAACAGCTGGGGGGCCACCCAAAAGCCTGAAAGTTTACCCCCAAGCAAATTCAGATGCGTTGATGGTAACTATCAAGTGACTCCCTTGCTAACACTGATCTTGCTGAGTCACCATGAAATCAAGATAATGTGGCAGGAAGAGGCAGCTTTCCTTGAAAATGGAAACCATGGTCCTACTTAGAGACAGTAACAACAACAACGGACAAAAATGCTGAGACTTCAGACACCTGAAGTACCCAAACATCCTATTTGTAGAATAATTTATGCAACTAAGTACACATAAGAAGTTTTACGTTAAGTAACGTTTTATCTGTCGTTAAGGTTGTCACACTGCACTCTAACTGCAGGCTCAATTTTCCACAAATATTGTCATTTGATATTCCCTTCAATCTCATGCTGTGCTTTATGATGCTGAATATCAGCTGGTAACCATCCCCCTTGCTGAGATGCAGTGATGGTGAAATCACTCCCCTCAGCTCACAGAAACAGTTTGCACAGCATGCTGGGATCATCCCGAGTCAAAGATGCTACACAGAGGTTGGCTGCAATTATTAATAAACATTTAGGGTAAATTTTCAACTAAATATATAACTGATATATTTTCTTGATTCTCATTATTATAGATATTAGCATGTGGTTACATAGAGAGAATCCTGATTGTGTTAAGAGTATCCTAGAAAGTACATCTTATCTACTTCTGATATTTACATCATGATTATTATTACGACTATCATTTCATCAAGTGAAGGGACCCCTATTAAAAGGATACCAATTCAAAGGGGGCATGGGTTAGAGAAAGTTCACTTTAGTACCTTATTCAATTTCAGACTTCACACATCATTTACAATAAAAATCTGCTGCAATAGAAAGAGTCCATACTTTGAGGTATCAACAGGTTGTGGGTTAAAGTTCCCTTCAGAATCCATTGATGACTGTTTTTCCATCATACTGACATAATTTGACTCCATGTAGTCTGGAGGCAAAGCTCCCGCAACTGCGCTCAGGCAAGGCAGTGCCAGTTTGAAAAGTTCTTGCTCATATTTCTGGGAAGAAATGGAGGACCAAAAAAAAAAAACCAGAAACCATATTACTATTTCACAAAAGTTGTCTTTGTGGCTGATGTTGCAGGAGAACATCTCAATCACCCTGGGCAACTTAACTCTCTAGCAGATTCTTTCTCTAGAAAATGGAACACACAGCCTGAAATCCCAACGAACATAAGAGAAGCTGAAGATAGATTTACTGTAGTTGCAGCGTAAGAAGAATAAAATCTTTGCTTCTCTAAAAGTTTATTCTCCAATATCCGAAATGAAGTAAATGTGAATATTCTAAATGTATAGCATGTCTTTAAAACATAAACATAATTTCAGTCAATGATTCTATCCCTTACAGTTAGTTACAGATTATTGCTGCACCACATTGTAAAGACTATACATGAAAAACACATAAAGGAACATTCCAGAGAGTAAAAAATTTTAACTGATCTACATTACATTACCAAGGTATGAAAAATAAAATTCTGAACTTGGAAAGAAATTCTACAGGAATACGCATAATCGAAATTTCTAGGAAGAGGTATCTGTATATTAATTATATAATTAGTTAAATTTATAGATCTTTTAAAAATCAAAAATAATATTTAAAAGTTACCTCACTTTAAATGTTCAATTTTAAATTAATGTAAATTCTTCTAAAAATACCTTCTACATATTATTTTATTTTTTTGTGAGGAAGATTAGCCCTGAGCTAACACCTGTTGCCAATCCTCCTCTTTTTTGCTGAGGAAGATTGGCCCTGGGCTGACATCTGTGCCCACCTTCCTCTACTTTATGTGGAATGCCTGCCACAGCATGGCTGCATGAGCGGTGCGTAGGTCCGTGCCTGGGATCCCAACCTACAAACCCCAGGCTGCCAGAGGCAGAGTGTGTGAACTTAACCACTACACCACCGGGCCGGCCCCTGTACATATTATTTTAAAAGGACTCTCAGTTTACCAAAGGCAATTCAGCAAGAACAAGCATCCAGATGTAGCTACCAAATGTAATCACAGAGCAACTTTCCACTATTGTGGAGCAAACTTCTGCTTATCCGACTCTAGTCATCAAAAACGTCTGTCTGGGAATTCAAACTGATTTTGATTAATAATTTAAGCATAAGCATACAAACCATGTTGTTCTGATTTTCTCTGAAATACCACCCTCCAGTCTTCTGAAAGTATATGAACTATTCATTATAAATATGGCAACTATAAGGGAATGTCACATATAGAAAGCGACACTGAGTAGAGGTACTTAAATCCCACAGCAGCAAAGTGGGAAAAGTCAGTAAGACCACTGGAATATTATAATTTTATGAGAGTTAATATTTTTATTTTTATATTTGATAAGATTTCTTCAGGCTTTATAAGACTGTGGAGGTGACTAGGGAGGTCTGAGTTCAAATAAGTCAAAATGCCCAAGAAACTGATCAACCCGTGTACAAAATTTCCTGAAATGCTCAGCCACTTTCAATTCAGAAAGTGTTATGATTACAAGGAACATGCTACCTTAATGATTATGAAAAGTCAATCTAAATTGTGTTCTCAACAGTTGTTATAAGTTGAGAAAACAGAAAAAATAAAACTATGTAAGTCTTGATAAGTAAAGATAGTTTTCCACTAGGAATATCTAAGAACCTATGGCTCTTTAATTATTTTATCACACAAATAAACCCACAAAATACTAAATTACCTTTTGAGAAAGGGCGTCAAAAATGCCCCAGAACAACTTTCTTGATAAATGAAGCTCTTCTTCCGAGGCAGCTCCAAAGTTCCCCCATCCTCCAGGCAGGCAGTAATATTTCCAGCATCTTTCATAATGATTTGTCAGCAGCTACATGGGAAAACAATTGTAAAAGCAATGAGCTAAAGACAACTTTTATATTTTTTCCATTTCCTCTCATATGGTATTCTAATGCTATATAACAAGGTCAGCTGAAACGAAACTGCTCAATTCTATATAGATTCTTTTGGAGAATACTACCTTGCATACTATGTTTCTTTAAAATTTAACACACATTGATCACAGTATGAGGACCAAACGCCCAATTTTACAAATCACTCTATCTTGAACAGCATTCTTTATAATGTTGTTGGCTTACCTATGAATCCCTGAGTTCTACTTTAATTGCTATCATTTACTCAAAATATATGAATTCTTATCCCCTGGAATCCATGCATATAACGAAGGGATTGACATCAGGGTGCCCAGAGGCACAAGCAAGCACCTAAAATGTGCATTCTAAGGGAACTATACCTCTGAATATCTCTGTTTCCTCTCTGACAATCTGTATTCATCACACTTTATGATTTGCCCCAGAACTTAACGTCTCTAAGTAAATTTCCAAAACTGCTCTACTTCAATAATTTCTTTATCTATATTTATTTGGTGGTTACGAATGCAATTTATTATCTTACTGAGCATCTACGTTGCTTCTTAAGTTCTCAACTATGTATATTTTGTTTGTTCGGGACTAAGCTGGAAGTTCAAAGACAAGAACAGACTCTTTCAATTATGTGGTAACTCAGGATAATTTATTCTTGATCTATAAACTAACAAATATTCACAACTATTTGCCAAATTAATAAAATGAACTTTACGAATCAACTATAAAGTTTTGGACTCTCTTTTCTATATCCAAGGAGGGAAATAAATTGATAAGGATTATTGTTATTAATGCTAACTACATCTCTTACTGTAGAAATACGTCTAGCTTGGTCTCTCTCTCAGTTACAAAACACACATGCACAATTTAGGAATCTCAAAGGATGAAATACTGACATCTAGTTTGCTCAGATTAACATGAAAATATCTATAATGTAAAAGAGTTTTATCACATAAAGTGATACTGTATCTTTTTTCAGGTATCTTTTTCAGTACATTTGTATTAAGAAAATTCGCACGACAAGGACTATCAATTCATTGATGATAAAAACTGTAAAAATGGGATTTTCAGCAAAGATATAATTTACTTTACATAATTCATTAGTTTATCTAAATTTATTAAATCAAAATCAGTTTTCATAGAGAAACTTTGTTTTTTCCTAAACATCTAGGGATGCTTAGTGTTAACAGCAGCTCAAAAAACAGCCTCATTTATATCTCAAACCTCTCTTTTACAGCCCTATTACTGTGTGGCCATGAGGAAAAATGACGCTTACTAGATGGCAGTGCGGAGTGGTCACCTGTAAAAAGTCCATTACGTGACCATGACCTCCATGCACAGACTATGCTCTTAAACATATTTGGATACATCTAATATCCCAATCCAGACTCAGGATTGGGATATTAGATGACAGGAAAATATTCCCAAGTCAGTAAGACAGTATGAGACTTGATCATTCATGAAGAGAATAATAAAGCTGGACAGAGAAAATGTCAGTGACTTTTCTACACTCTGTGACAAACTATAACTACATATACAGAAAGGTTATCTTTCAACTCTATGAAATTATATTTGGAAACTGTCATTTGATTACCAACTTAGAAAATGTTTTTAAAGCCTGCTCTTTATCCCTTGAGGCTGCTAATATTTTAGGCCAAACCTACTACCACGTTTTTCTGCCTAAGAAGATCTTGGCTTATTTTTTCCTTGTGGCCCATTTTTTCCCACTGATTTCCATTTCCATTGATTTACAGGACACCAACTTAGGATTTCTATGATCTTTTATTACTTGTTTATTTTAGGCTGATACACATTTATCTATAACGTATATGACCATTTCAATAACTGGAGGAAATTCTCCAGCATCAAAGATCAAACATGATGTATCTAAGAGACATACATATTGTAACAGGAAACAAAGTCAGAGGACCCAGTAATCAAATAACTATAAACATTTCCTATACTTACCTTAAGAGGCATCTTTGCGTGTTCATTTAATAACGGGACATCAAATACTAATCTTCTGAGTAAGTGCTGCATCATAGAAGGTCTCAATTGGCTGGCGGAACAAAGCTAATTTTAATAACGAAGGGAAATGTGTCTAAACTAAGTAGAAAATTCATTAGCCTAAATTATATACGCCAAGAACCTGTACCTATACCTCTCTTCAGATGATGTTAATTTTAGGTGTTTCTAATCCAAAGATTAACCAATAGTTACATAATTTTATAAAAGGTTCCATTTCCAACTCATCTCCATCCCTCAGACCTGAAGACAAATCCCTATTTGCTACAGGAGATGCTCCTCTTCTGCTCCTTCCCTTCCCACTCACTCAACTACAGACCCCACTGTTTCCACTAATTTAGTAAATGCTTCTTCCCTCATTCTAGTGGGTGGGAAGGATCTTCAGTGACCAGATTAGAATCAGAAAGAAGAGAGAGTGCAGGAGTAGGAGGGAGAAAAAAGGCTGAGACAGAAATTTTGCCAGCGGAAGAACGGAAAGACAACTAATGCATAGTGAACATCTACTGCATCAGGCCATCCTGACTGCTTCACCTTGTTTAATATTGATAAAAAAATCTGCAAGATAAGTGTTTTGATTCCATTTTATAGAATTTTAGGGTCAGGGAAGTTATAGAACTAATATTCTAATTTTTCACCTCCGTCAGTCGCATCTGTCTTCTAAACTCATACACTGCACTATGAGTGAAAACCTTTCCTTCGCCAATGTACTGCCAGGCTGCAAGCCTTCACCTCCAAGAGCTCCTGTCCAATTAGAAGGAAGCCATCACCCCAGCTAGGGGCCCGAGAAATGGTCACTTTCACTGTTAGAATATCAAAAGGAGGAGACATGTTTCTGTGTTTCCCAGTAAGACATCTGAACACTTCTACCTATAGGAAGTCATTTTCCAGGCTGGAGGAAATAGTGAGCCTTCATCACTGCCACACGTAAGTAATGCTTTAATATTATACTGTATTATTTTTTATATTTAATAAGTCTCTTTTTTCTTCTCTCTTCTGGAGGAAGAGTTAAAACCATCACACAGAGTCAAAAAAGAAGAATCTACTAACCTTACACTAAAGTGGCCAGGGACTCTTCACATAATCACCCCATCCACAAACAGCCAGAATAGCATAATTGGTCCAAAACTATTCCCAACAGCTAGATATCCAAGAGGGGCTTGAAGGAACGGTCCTGAACTTAACCAGGAGCAAGGGTGCTCTGATAAGACTCGTACCTCAGTACACGGGGCTATTTAAAATGAATTAATTTTTTGGTACAGAAATTGTTTTCAAAATTCATAACAATTTGCCAAGGGCCACAGAGTAAATTCTCTTCTTCAAGAAGAAGAAACTTGGTATTGAGTTAATTGCCTACTTACCCACAAATAGAGAGTAAACAAACTTCTATGGAATCACGTTGAGCTTTGGTAAGTGAGCAGCCCTTAGAAAGTCTATACACAGTATGAAGTAACGAGTCAATGAGGGAAGCATGGTGCTCTGTGCCAGCAAAAAGAGGAGCACATCTCGTTAACAAAGGCAACACGGCTGTGCAAAGGTACCGATTGAGGGCCAAGGCCATGTCTGTAGCACTCAAAGCAGCCTAAAAAGGAATTGGAGAGTAGAAAATCATTTGTGTTTGGCAGTAGACAATTTTTAAAGGGATCAACATGTTGACATGCAATTTCACTATCTAGAAAATGACAAAAAGATGAAAAATGGAAATGTATTCCTCAATTATATCTTTAATGTGGTTCATATGATTTTTTACCACTAAAAACAATCAACTTTCATTTGCTCATAAATAGATAAAAATGAAGTCATATCTATTTCTTCAAAAGGCCCAAGAGGTTCATATTCTATAATAAAATATCATTATTAATTACTGTAGGAAGAATGAAAGATGAAGACACTAATGATATCAAAGATTGTGAGCAGTTTTCTCTACTAGAGGAGGAAAGAGAATGGAACTTATAACAGATCTCATATTCATAAAATCTTTCTGAATTCTAATTATTAATATTATTTATATTTCTGCTTATGTTCATCAGCATCAACAATCAAAGGTTGATTGTCTTACTATGTTATCAACTATACACTTTAGGTTCAGAATTTCATGTGAATACAGTCAACAAAGAAAAAGGAAATTTCAGTTTCATTTTTATGATTCTCCTCTCATGGCTTTCCTGAAAGAGCTATTGTCAGCTCAAGATCTGATTTCCTCTGAAATCAAAAAGACCCATTCAGTTGAGAATAAAAGGAGGTATTATTAACTACTAGAATGACATTTAGAACTTCAGCTTATTCTATAACATTTCAAACAGCAGAACATTTACACTGATAATGGCAGATTCTCACTGTGGGCCACTGAATATACAGGACAGATTTTAACCTATCTGTACATTAACAAATGAAGACACCAGGAGGGTATCGTAATTGGCATGACTCAACAATGTCCATTAAGCTTTCTTAATACTTTAATTGAGAAGCATAATTGTTTAGGCCAACTTAGAGGTTAACAGGAGCCACTGTGACCTCCGAAATTAGGTTATATGAACTTCTTATTGTCTTCCATTGCATCTGATCAGAATTCTTATCTTACTCTGGAGGTCGTCCCTTTTCTCCACTATTCAGTGAATTCCTTGGGGACATAGTCTATCTTATTTTCTGTTTACCCATTGCCTGCCTAAAAATATAATAGATACTCAGTAAACATTTGGTGACAATAAATGAATGAATGAATCTATCTACAAAAGAATATCATAAGCCAGAGACTGAAGAGTCAAAAGTTGAGGAAGCCAACTGTTCAAATCATTACCGTATCTAAAGAAGCGGCAGCCCGGAGATCTGGCAGAAAGCCAACCTCTAGAAGATGGAGGAGGAAATCTTGAACCTCAATTCCATAGACCCTGTCAAGGAACAAAACCATGGCTGCCTTGTGATCTGGGCAAAACCCCGCAGACATGTCAGGCTCCACCACATTCCCATCTAAAAGAGAGAAGGTGACATGTTGTTGTTAATGGTCATGCCATTCATGAGAGAGATTACAAACGGCTATTTCTGTAAAACGTGGCCTTCTCATGTTTTAAATAAAGTTATCAGTTGAATGGTTTTCTGTTCTTCTACTATCCACAAGCAAGTGCTGGGAACTGACTGAGGAAATATGACACTGCAATTTGAATCCAAGGTCATTTCAATATCATTTGCACATCCATTTGTTTAACTGCATATATAAGAACACAGCATTATGCTAGATACTGAGAAGGAAAAAAAAAACTATCCAAAATCCACATTGTAAAACTAGGAGTAAATGCCACAAAAAATTAAAATGTAGGGCCGGCCCCGTGGCTTTGCGGTTAAGTGCGCGCGCTCCGCTACTGGGGGCCCAGGTTCAGAACCCGGACACGCACTGTCGCACCGCTTCTCCGGCCATGCTGAGGCCACATCCCACATACAGCAACTAGAAGGATGTGCAACTATGACATACAACTATCTACTGGGGGGCTTTGGGGGAAAAAGAAAAAGGAGGAGGATTGGCAATAGATGTTAGCTCAGAGACAGTCTTCCTCAGCAAAAAGAGGTGGATTAGCATGGATGTTAGCTCAGGGCTGATCTTCCTCACCAAAAAAAAAAAAACAAGTAAAACGTAAAGTAAGGTTTCCACTTTTTTCAAGAATGAGAGAGGCTTTTAAACATTAATAAAACTCATGTACCCCTTTGTGATAATCATGGTACATTTACATATTTACGGCTTAGACAATTACAAAATGATGAAACTACTCTACGAACCAGTTTGACTTTCAAATGAAATACGCTTCATTAACCACAATAGCATTTAACAACGTTTAAAACATATTTGAGAATCATATTATTTTCTCTATCAACAGTTAATGCTTGATGCCTATATAGATGAGTGAAGCTGATTATAATTCCATAGATTCATAGGTTGGGGATCACTGATATGAGGAATTAGAGGATTATGTACCAATTTAAAATATTGGAGAACTGGTGTGTTTCCTGTTTGACCACATGATAATTATGACAAACTTGCTGATAACACACTGCAAGATTCTACAAATAATATCACAGAATCTCTAATAATGATGCAATGTTGAAAAAAGGAGGACGCAGGGAAAAATGATACATGACCATAATCATTCTGAAAGAAACAAATCACAACTTTTTTGTTTTCATTTGTAGTCAATGAATGAATTTGATATTTGAATCAATAAATGAACAAATAACAATGTTTTAAAGAAAATTAGATTAAAGGCTAATACCACATAGCTTCCATTCCTTAAAATAACACGTAATATATCTAATACCTTCCTTCCTATAATCACAATAATAAGATTAATAGCTCTTGTTGTTTATGCTGTTGTCAGGCACTGTGCTAGGAATGTTACAGACACAATCTCATACCATTTTCACAAGCACACTATGAAGTTGGTATTATCCTTATTCAACAGAAGATGAAAACTGACCTTTAGGGAAGTTGAATAACTTGTCTCAATTTGTATACCTAGCAATTGGCAAAGTTAGATTTAAACTAAGTAAAACTGGATTTAAAATCCAACCAAAGCTAATTTAGTCCTCACGTTGAATCAGCATGCTATAATTTTCAATTAAAAATCTATATGAAGGGCGAGCCCCATGGCGTACTGGTTAAGTTGGGTGCGCTCCGCTTCGGCGGCCCAGGTTCGCAGGTTCAGAGCCAGGGCATGGACCTACGCCACTCAACAGCCATGCTGAGGCGGTGACCCGCATACAAAATAGAAGAAGATTAGCACAGATATTAGCTCAGGACTAATGTTCCTCAAGCAAAAAAAGAGGAAGATTGGCAACAGATGTTAGCTCAGGGAGAATCTTCCTCACCAAAAAAAAAAAAGAAAAAAATGCCAAAGACAATAAGAATAACATTTAAAAAAATATATATGAAATTCCAGTTCAATTCTCCTAAAAATCACATTATAGGTAATTTATATCTACAAGATTCTATTATTTTAACATATAGCTGTGCCTAAGGAAATGATGCTAGATCAACACATTGATCTTAAAATAAGGATTTGTTTTTCAAACACTCATTCAAGTAAACATTCATTTAAGAAATGCTACAACTATATCAGCCTGGGGATGAAGATGCATCAATTTGCTACAGTTGCTGTTTTATTTTCACCATCTCCTCAAACATGCTCAAGACCACAAAGCTGATGAACTGCCTCCTCTCAGACTTCTGGCCTTGGGACAGGAATGAGGAGGGCCTGTTGCCCTGGCTGTAGCCTGTGGTACCTGCATTATTCATCTGCCTGACATGACTGCCTCAGACAGTCTGTCCAAACCTGCCTGGGCCAAGAGCTGCAGGAGCAGAACATCTACTTTTGAGATTATCTGCTTGCCCTTCAAGTTTTCTGAACCCCTCCTTCCTTCATTATTATTCTGGGCCACACTACAGTTCTAGAATAAGTGTGATAAAAATGTTTGAGAAAGACCTTAGCTAATACTGAGGGGGGAAAAAAACCTAATATTTAGAGACAAACTTCCTATTCTAAATATAGAAGATATAGTAACAATTATTACTGATAATGGGTGATGCTTCATCAACTGACTTGTCATTGAAACATATGAAGAAATATTGATGGTTTAAGTTTTAAAGTTGATTTAAACGAATAACATAGGAAAGTAAAAACATACAGGTTTCTGCCTACATTCTCTGTAAAAGGAAAGAGGTAAAAGAAAAATGTAGAAATTTAACAATGACCAATGGATTGCATTTTAAAAATTTATTTTCAGTGTGATTGTGATAGTTTACAAAGAAATCCTTTAAATCCCAAGGTAGACAATATACTGCATATTTATGAAAAAAATCATAAAATAACATTATTGTAGCACAACTAAGTAGAACAGGAAAGAAACCAGCTTGAAAATTTTTGAAGGCTGCTAAAGACAGATCAACTGGAGGAAAATAGGGTATATGAAGACTTTGGGGCAATTCTGAAGGGGACATGTGAACACTCTTAGAGTCCCTGTTCTTGGTTCTTTGTTATTACTAATTCTAACCTTAAAATTTAGCATTTCTCTATTTCCTAATCTGTGTGTCACTGGTATTATTCTTATCTTTTTCCGGAGAGCGTCAAGTTTGTGGCTCAAAATGCAGAGGAAATAAAAAAGATATTTTACTTAAGTAAATGAACACGAGTTAGAAGAGAGGTAAAAAGAAGATAAATGAAAATAATCTGTATAAACACAAGAAGAAGAAACTGCCTAAAGTGGGGAAAACAGAAAGCTATGGGACAATTTTTAAGTTCCAGCTTTCCCTAAATATAATAAGTGTTCGATTACTATAGGTGTTTATGTCACCTGAAGGTTTGAGTTTGTAAGGTGAGCAGACACGAAACTTGCTCATGATCACATGGCTGGCCAGTAGGGTAAGCCTCCTTCAGTTACCGAGTAGTCCCTTCATTCTGGAGGAGGCATAAACAGCTAATCTCTGGGGCATAATTAATGAAAGAAAGGATTATAACACACACTTGCCATGTGATTATGTTTTTGTCCTAAAATTAGAAGTGTATATAGAAATGAAATATGTAATAATATCCAATAAAGTATTGAAAACTGAACAAAATTGAAATTGGAAGAAGGAAAAATAATTTAGGATCTAACATATCTTTCAGGTGCCTTCAATAACTGCTTAAATCTTTTTTTTTTTTACGGGAGACAGAGACTGAATTGCCAACAGGGAAGTGGGCCTCAGCCTATGCCATTTGCCACTGCTGTTGTAGTTTGGGGCAGTGCAGGGGATCCGTGTGGGTGTGAACCCAGGCCCTACTGCCACTCCCCACAGTGAAGCATCTGCACTTCACCCCAGTGCTGCTGGAGCCCGCCCTTCTCCTTACGCAGCTTGGGCAGGAGGGTGAGGGACCACAGTTGCTGGGCATTTATAGAGAGAGCAGGTTGATTTTATTTTACGTGCTTTGGAGTTAATATTGGAAAACTAATCACAAGCAGCTTCAAAACCAAAAATGACATGTTGCAAAAGGACAGTAAACGTTAGGTCAAAATGGAAAAAAAAAAAATCTTTTTAAAATTTTCTCTTTCACCTTGGAAAGAGCACTTACATCTCTAAGTCAAAAGCTATGATCGTTGTTTTGGGAAAAAAGCATTATCAGAAAGTGACAATGAAAACTACGAAAAAGAGTGAATTAAGGGATTGCGGTCAAGAAAGACAGAGAAGAATGGGGACCAAAGAACACTAGGAGATGTGTATTTCCTCTTCTCTGGAAACTGAAACGTCATGTAAAAAAAGAATTAAAATCTCATTGGAAACATAGCTGTTTAAAAACAATGAGAATAGAAAATATTTTATAAAATAATGTACTTTATAATTCTTTTCTTTTTTTAAAGAAACTTAAGCAGTCTAAGCATGCTGCAGGGAGAGAAACTTTGAGTCCTGATAATATGTGAAACATCATGTCATCCAAAGTCCTATTAAATTACGAAGAAGGGAAGTTGGCCTTACCTTTGGCTATTGTTGGCATCTGAAAAGCGATGCTGATTACTCCCACCAAATCTCCCAGTGGAATTAGGGATCTCAAAATAGACCTGATTCTGATGGCTTCTCCTTTACCAGCATGAATCAACTACAGGAAGAAAAATAAAGGAACATTAGAATAACTTTGTGAAATCAATGTTATAATTCTATCTAGAAAATTTGAAGTATGGAAATCCAAGTCTAAATTAATTTTCTGTTAGGTATACATATAAAGTTAGACCCCTCTGAGAAATTGTTGTTTCAGGCTTACAGACAGATATTTACCCGCCCACACAGTTTTCACTGATTTCAGTATACAGTGAATTATGTACTACAGTTTAGGCCAAATGGTTTACCCATTAGAACAACAGTTTCTATCCTCTTTGGGGTGTTAAATTATATTGAGAATCTGATAAGTCTATGAATGCTTACCCTCAAAATTACATATAAATACCTATCCATAACATGAGCAATAATACAAAAGAAAAATTATTTTTAGGCCCTGAACGTATACTAATATTTATGATCGATTTAGCCTCTTTCTTGCTTTGTGATGAAAATATAATTGTATATCCATCTATATTCCACCATAAATTCTCCCAAGGATGGGTTCATAATGTGGAGGAGAATGGTGAACATGAATCCTAAGGGTCTTTTAGACACTGGTTAATGAAGTACCTATGAAGACTGCAGACCTGACATAGTGAAGAATCTCAGCCAGTCTCTAGAATAGACTGCAGGCTTCCAGAGCCAGGCGGGCATCTGTTTCCTCCACCACTGGGTGTGAAACACAAGCCCAATTTCTGACACTGGGAGATCCTCAACTAACAGTGGCTGAAGATGAATAAATTTCAGAAGTGCCAAAGTTAGCTCCTTATTAAGTCACTTAGTTTTTTTTCCCCCTAATGTAATAGAAGAAAAAACCTCTATTTATTAGCATAACTTCTCTCTTGGTTCCTTTAATCTTTCACTTTAACAGGAAAAAGAAGAAATATTGTGAGCATAAAGTTTTTTGTTTGCAATCACCTCCAGCATAGAAATTTTTGATAATCTAGTCCCATTTCCTATGCTGAAAATCTCATTAGCCACAAGTTAAGTTGTTACAAAAATCAGACTCCTGGTTTTCTAACATTCTAACATTTCTCCATCCTGTGATTCTTCTCTGTTCACAACAAAAGATTATATCAAGAAAGTTTTAACCTATGGATGTGAGAGAAAGAGATCAAAAAACAAAAACAAAAAGAAAAACAAACAAAAACCCAAAAACCATACCTTCTAAGGGTAGGGATAAAGAGGTGATCTGTAAGCAATGGTTCTTCCGGCTTCATGCTCCAACCAGTTTAGAAGTGTATTTGCCTTCCACCCCAGAACTGGTCAATATGTTTCAAACTCTGTGTTGTTTCCCATTAACAGGTCATAAAGCTAATTTTATAGGCCCTGACTAGCATTTTTTAAATGAATATAATAGAATAAAATAGAACAGATTACAATAAAATACAGTGGAAAATATCAGAATGGATTACAGAGTAAAAGTAAGTATTATTCACTAATCCATAGCATCTGAATAGCTCTTTCCTTCCCCCTAACCTGCCCGCTACCCCCACTTTCCCCTAAACCAGAGGCAAGCACATAGCAGCTCCCTCACAGGGATGAAATATTGTACAAGAAAAGAACTCTTGATAGGAGTGGTTGCTTTCTGCATGCACTAAAACAGAAGAGAAAATTGTATAGGGAAAATATGTTCTTTTCTTCTTAAGGTATGAGGAGGTTTCTATGAGTTTTAGAGATATATAAGCAACTGACTATTCTATTAGTGACTTGCTCTGAAATCTGATTACTAATTTTTACAACCAACAAGACGTTACCAACTAAATAAACACTTGTTCAGCAATTAGGCTGCAGCTATTATTTTTAATGGAGCATGAAGATTATCGGTTCTGGATGCTATTGTGATCTTTGCCAGCTATGGACGACTTAGAGACAGACAGGTAAACCAGGATTGTTGCTCTTGAGCCCCAAGGCACTTACATGCATTTCAGGAGCACAGCGTCCTAAAAGGTCAATCAAGGCTGAATAAAAGGTCATGATGGCATTCCCCATGTGGATAGTGTCATCTTCCTCCTCTTCTGTATCACTTTTGTGGATTTTTCAAAAGAAACAGAAAGCAAAGCAAACAGGATAATAAGGTGACATTTCAGGTTTATTACATACTTCAGAGAGGAAATGGATCACTAAGGTACATAATTCTGCCTCTTCTGATACTTTTCATTTTTTGTGTTTCATTTACAGCTTGATACTTTTAAAAGAAAATAACAATGGGCTAAAGACCAGATTTGAGAGTCTATCACGAAGAACACATTTGTGGGAACTTTAATGTTAAGATTCTTTCAAAAGAGAAAAAGAGGAATTATTAATTTGATGGATTCTGCTCATTTCTACTGGCAGTGTATTAACAAAGAAAATAATTGATGGAAGGACTTGGTAAGTTTAGACTACTTTTGTAAATAGCATACATGGGGGATCAGAATTGGCCACCCCAAAATGTGTCTCTTTGGCTTGATTACTTTTAAGGACAAAAGACTCTGAAAGAAACTTTGACCTTCCCCCTAAGTACCTAAAAGAATTTAAGATAGAAGGCCTGTTCCAGGAAGGAGCTAATACCATAAGATAACTATAATATAATATAAATAAGGTGTGATAGACAGGGAGGAACCTAACAAGGACCTTTTAGTCAAAGTCCTCTCCACTCTCATTGTCTCTGCAAGGCATGGTCAACATTTGTTCATCAAATGTTTGATTCTCCATCTCCATGTGAATTGCCTTCCTCCTCTTTAAAGTTTCAAACCACTACCACAATATCCTCCTTTGTCCTTAGCTGAAGATAATATTTAAGGTAGTGGCTTCTGCCATTTTGGCGAGTTACTCAGTTTTCCTGGGTTCCTCCCATGTATACATGTTAGTAAACTTTGTTTTATTTTCTCCTGTTATTCTCTCTCATGTCAATTTAATTCTTAGACCAGCCAGAACAACCCAGAGGGAAGAGGAATGGTTCTTCCTCCCCTGCACATACATTTAAAGAAACGGTAACAAAGATCTGTCTTATAAGATAACATATCTAAGGCACCCAGTACAGTGATTTGCACAGAGTAAGTACTTCATAAAGTTGATTTCATGTACTAACCTATCTCTTTACCATCTACTCTACCCCACCTACCCACTCCCAAGTAATTGACATGTCTCCCTCCCTGTCTCTGTGAGAAAAACATCATTGATGAGAGATGATGGATGGCCCTGGAAGATCATGTCATTCCTCCCTTGGTAGCTCGCAGACAGCTGCCTCAGCTGGACTCAGCAGTCTGCAGAGTGGCAGCAAGGCCTGTTGACAACATTGTTCCTGGCAGGCAAGGCTGTCCCCAGGGCCCTCGGGGTATACACCAGCTCGTGTGGTCCGGGGCCAGAAATCTCTTGATATAGTTTCTCCTGCTTAGAGAAACTAAGGCATCCCTAGTTCCTCTACAGCTAACTGATAAATATGTAAAGTGCTCTTGGAGTGCTCCCAGTCTGGATCCCCGGCCTTGGTGTGGACAGAACATTTATGCCTGATTCTATATGTGGAAGAACAAGGGTTTGCAGGACTACTTCTTTGCTTGGAAATTTGCCTCCAACAAGCCCTATATTATATCTTTACCAGTGGTGCTAGCAGTGTCGGTGCATGACTCCCTAGCAGAACATTCACCCTTCAAGATTGAAAAAATAGGAAGCAACATGCCTAAATTAACTTATGTCCATTGCTGGAATCAAGTATTAATAACAGAGACTATGGAGATATGTAACATAGTTATTGCCTCCCCTATCTGTCATCAATACCTTACCCAAGCATTTCACTCCTCAGAATGACAACATTCCCTTTTCTGAACTTTACCACCATACCAGTTTAGTTAGTGCCCCATTCTCTTGCTAAAGGTCTCTTTGTCTCTTACTATCATCATGGAAGCTCATTCTAGCTCGCTTCCCACTAAAGTCTACCCCAATTTCAAAGGCTCACTTGCCATCATTTGTGATAACTCACTTTGCCATAGTCCCCTGGGAAAATTCACAAAACACATCTCCTCCTACAACCTTAAATTTCTTGCTACTAAATCCACAGTCTTCCTCAGGTCTCTCCTTGTTCATTCAACTTATTCCAGCAGCAAATTCCATCCATTCTTCCAAGTCTAACACATTTGATTTTTCAAGGGGAGAAATCATGTGTACCAGAGAGCTATATTGCAATAAATAGAATGCAGATTATATTTTGTAAAATTTCAAGTCAATTTATAGTAGTATAGTTTACTCTTAAGAGTGTGTATATTAGACCTACGGGGTTTTACTGGATCCGCTAGTTGGTGAGGGACCGTCTCGGGAGGGATCCTCAGCTATTTTTATGGCCTCTTCCATGACTGCAAGAAGTCCATTTCCACCTTCCCCTCTCAAAGCAGGACCAAAACACTCAGGCCTCCGGATGAGCAGTCTCACCACAACATTTGCATTCTCTTCCACACTCTCCCCTAAAATCAAATAAGGAATATAAGTAAACAAACATTGATTATATGGACCTTCTAGGCAAATAAATATTATACTAATTCATTACATTTAAAGAAAAATAACTAAAAACAAAGAACATAGTAGTAAAGCCAAAATTGAATGCAAATGACTAGTTTTATGTAGACAAGACACAGTAACTTTCTTTTCTTGCACATGAAATTTTTAAAGTAAAGAAAAGCATTGTGGAGGCATAAACTCTGCATTTTGGTTAATTTGTTATAGGAAATAAAGTCATAATCCTAGCTATTATTAGAATCCAATTATAAAAACTGTAAGAATGTAAGTGCCTAAAAATTTTAATTTAATAATGAAAGCATAGCATCACTATCAAAATATATATTATAAAATAAATTATTACTATGAAAAAAATTACTGATTTTTAATTTCTTTACTAATATTTACTTCTTTCATGAAAATGTTGGGATACACTGTTATTTTATACATCTATTTTTATGTAGTTTTAATAATGACCAAAAAAGACCCCAAGCAATTAATCCTACCATTACAGAAGACAGCAAATCTGAGAAAGTCAAGATATCTCTCTCCTTCAACTGGATTCCACCCAATGTCGGGATAACCCTTAGACACCAGCATCTGGCAGCTTTGCAGTCCACAACCAGCCAAATATCGAACTACCTACAAACAAGATGATAAGCAAAAGCATTACTCATTGGGTGAGATGTCATTAGATGCTTATACTACACATGGTAAATGATACCCTCAAAGGATGGCTTAAAACAAACGCATTTTTGCAAGTTCTTTTTAATCTCATGACAATCCACAGGAACTCCCTTTAGCAAAACCTTAGAATTAGGAAATATTTATAAATCATAACAAAGTGCTACTATAATAAAAATATTTAAGAACTCTATGAAAAAATTTTGTAAATTACATATCATTTGAGACTTTTACATACAAAAGTCATAACATTTGACAAACTCCAAAAATGTCTAATGACCTTTGGCTCAATGTAAAACTTGAATCCATCGGAGATATTGAAAGATCCATCTGAGATTATTTTAAAGAAGTAAATTACTTCCAAAATGCTATATCAATTTAATAGGGAAGAGACGGTGTGAGAAGACAGAAGTAGAGAAATCTAAGCTTAGAGTCAAATATCTTTGGCCTGAAATCTGACCTGTGTCAAGATTTACTGGATCATTTTGAGCCATGGTTTCACTGACTATCAAACTTGGGATAATGCTACTTACCTGTCAGAATTGTTGAATTTAACACATTAAAATTTCTGCTTAGCTTTGCCTTTTAAAATATTCTATTCTATATGAATGTTGGTCTTCTACAATATTTCATAACTCATCCAGTTTTAAAAGAAGTCATTACCAATGGCAGTAGATTGTTAGAGGAGCAACTTATCAAATTAAGTTACATCCCGCTCAATCACAAGCTAAATCAATATTAAAAAGAAATAAGTAATACAGCTAAAAATATTTTACATCGAATTTATTGAGGTATAATTTGTGTACAACAAACTCACCTACTTAAAGTATAAATTCAATGAGCTTTGAGAGATGTATACATCTGTAAAAACACCCACAATCAAGATGCAGAAGATTTCCACTATCCCTCAGGTCCCTGTGCCTTTTGCAGTCCATCCTCCCTACATGCATAAGTCTTGAGAATCTGCTTTATGTCACTACAAATTAGTTTGCATATTCTAAAACATTTGTGCATGTAATCATCCAGTATGTGTCTTTCTGTGCCTGGCTTCTTTCACTCAGAATAATGATTTTGACAGCCCTGATGGCCTAGTGGTTAAACTTCGGCACACTCGGTTCCAGTGGCCCACGCTCGGTTCCTGGGCACGGAACCACACCACTGTCTGTCAGTAGCCATGCTGTGGTGGCCACTCACATAGAAGAACTAGAAGGACTTACAACTAGAATATGCAACTATGTACTGGGGCTTTGGGGAGGGGGAAAAAAAAAGAGGAAGACTGGCAACAGATGTCAGGGTGAATCTTTCCCAGTTAAAAAAAAAAAATGATTTTGAGATTCATTCACATTGTAGCACATGTCAGTAATTCATTTCTTTTTATAGCCTAATAATAGCATTCCACTGTATAAGGAAATACCCCAGTTTTGTTTATCCATTCATCAGTTGATGGACATTTGAGTTGTCTCCAGTTTTGGGCTAAGATAAATAAAGCTGATATCAACATTCACATACACGTCTCTGTGTGGACATATATTTTTATTTCTATAAGTAAATACCTAGGAGTAGAAAGACTAGGTGTATGTTTAACTTGTTAAAAAATGACCAAACTGCTTTCCAACTGACTTTACCATTTTTCATCCCAACAGCAGTAGATGAGGGTTCTAGTTGCTCCACATCCTCCTCAGTGTTTGATATTACCAACTTTTTAAATATTAGCCATTTTAATCAGTGTGTAGATAAAAAGATCTTAAATTATGTATGGGAGAAAATTCTCCTGAGGTTAGTCAGAGATGCAAAGCTTTATGATCCTTGACTGGCATGCCAGACGGATTTGGGCAAAAGTTCACTTTTTCATGCCTTCAACAGCTATGCATCGAGGGTCTACTCAAGGCCAATGCTGTTCTCTAAGACTGGGACAAAGCAGTGAACAACAGAGAAAAAAATGCCCTGAACTCACTGGTCTGACATTATGGTAGGGAAGAGATTTTTAAAAAGACATAAATATGTAGATTTTAGTAAAATATATGTATTTTAAAATATAAATATAATTTTAAACTATAAATATTTAAATAAATATAAAGAAAATGAAAATGTATATTTATGTACATAATATACAAATATGTTTTTTCAATGACTGGAAGAATGTATGGAAAAGACCTATGAAGACATTGCCAGAAGAATATTGCAGATGGCCAGAACAGCAAGTGCAAAGGCTCTGAGGCAGGAGCACACCGGGCAAGTTCCAGTCACAGCAAGGGGTCCAGTGTGGCTGGAGCAAAAAAAAAGATCAGGAGAGTTGTAGGAAGTGAAACAAGACTAATATGTGAAATCAGATAGAGTAAGAGTTATTGCAATGCCTTTAGTCTTTGCTGGAAGTGAGACAGAAAGTCTCTGGAGAGTTTTGGGCAGAGGATTAAAATGATCCTTTTAGGGCCGGCCCCGTGGCTTAGCGGTTAAGTGCGTGCGCTCCGCTGCCGGCGGCCCGGGTTCAGATCCCGGGTGTGCACCGAGGCACCACTCCTCCAGCCATGCTGAGGCCGCGTCCCACATACAGCAACCAAAAGGATGTGCAGCTATGACAGACAACTATGTACTGGGGCTTTGGGGGAAAAATAAATACATAAAATCTTAAAAAAAAAAAAAAAAAAAAAAAATGATTCTTTTAAAAGGCTCACTCTGGCTGCTAGGTAGAGGAGCAATGAGAGATCAGGAAGACTATTTAGAATGCATTTGCAATTAAAGTACTGAGGAAATTTATCTACATTCTAGCAAACATATATGTCACTTAATATGCTTGAAGTGCGTGGCCTTAGTACACCACTGTTGCCTTGCACTGCAATATATAGACTTCTGTATGATCTAAAACCTGTGTATGAGATGTTAAAACAATGTATTAAGAAATTGAAACTATATGATTAAAGCAAAAGTGATATCATGAAGGACAAGAACAGACAAGAATACAGATATAGAGTAAGTTGATGCCCTTCCCAGAGAAAAATGCATGTGATCAGAGGAAATACCTTATCTCAAATTTCTTGTTCTTTATAATTATAATATTATATATAATATATGTAACATACAGTACATAATATATATTCTAATTACAGTAATATAATGTAATTATAACCATGTTATATTTAAATAATCTTGAGAAACAACTATGAACAAGCATAACTCACCCAAACACACGGGGCAGGAATGGTACTTACCTTTTCCAGATCTGGCTCACGCAAAGCTAAGGCTAGTTCGTTATTATCCATCACCGAGGCTGCTGCCACATCCAACGGTGTGGAACCTCTCATAGCCGGCGAGGCTGTTGAATTCAAATGAAGATGAAACAAAACCTGAATTGTGCTGCAACTATGAATTCCACACAAAAACCCACTTTCACTTAAAATTTCATTTCTAAGTGCAATACATATTTCACTAATCTAAATTAATTTACGTTAAAGTCTAATTTTTAAACGTACTATGTATATTTGTTTTATCTTAAAGATGAAATAAAAGCCATACATTTACTTACCGAGACCAACGCTGCTGTTTTCCAACAAATAACTGAGATGATCAAACATAGCTTTTTGATTCTGCCTACTGATGCGACAGAAGTAGCAGAGAAACCGGCAACAGTTGGCCACCATCTTGGGAAAAGTGATTTCCTACATAAAGAGCATTTAGTTAGCTGTGAAAGCAAATGTTCTTTATAAAACTGAGTTCAGAAGTTGAGGTCTCAATCACATTGTCAATCCACGTGTGCCCACATCTGCCAAGCCTCAGGTACTGAAGACCTTCAAATGTCCAGACTCTGACTCACTGAGCTCTTGAGCCACTGAAAATCAAGCCTGGCACTAATTTAGAAACCCCATTGCCAGCACTGGGTTGATCGGGAATTAATCTACAGCCCTAAACCTAAAGGTGGCATGAGCCTGATCTAGGAACCAGGCAGACTCAGTTGTGATTCCCGACCACCATTAGCTGTGCTTCCTTGGGAAATTATGCCATCTCATTGATTCTGTTCTGCAAATTGGAATAAGATGGATAATGATGCTTACTTTAGGTAAAGGAGAGAGAGTTTCATGAGACAGTTTGTGAAAAATACTCAGTTTAATATTTGGGGCCACAGAACAGGGTGTTTTTATCATCAGTGTTGTTGTTATAATTATTATTATTAAGATTCCAGGGATTCACAACTTCCCTGCTTTGCACACAACTTGTCTGCTGTGACGAGCACCCTGAGCAGAAGGCCTGCCTGCTAGGCCCCATCAGACACATCTCCCTTGAGAGCCAAATCTTGTTCTAGTATATCCAAGATGATCCCTGGAGTCGTTATTTAACAGAATATTTTATAAATGTCTGTCTAACTGGTAGACTGAACATGAGAAATATGGACTCGTTTCCATATTTTGAAAAACACATCATAAAATTTCAAAAACCATTGAAACATATTTTGCTCATCAGAAGTCATAAAATTATACTGATTTCCATGACGTTGTTATATTACTCTACTCATTAGATTTTAAAGAATTTTATTTTAAATTTTCGTTACTTAAAAATTCACCTTAGAGTCTTACAACAAATACACTCCAGAGCATCATCCTCAAATCTTGTTCTGGATCAGGAATTTAGTGGAACCAACTGTCATCTGAATCAAGGGGAACAGCTGGGTGTGAAGAACATGTTTGTGTTATGCACTTCTAATGTGATGGAAATTGATTTAATTCAAGATTTTTTAAATTAGCATAGTATTAACTTTAAAGTTTCTAAATATCCCCTAAACAACAGTAATTGAGGAGACAGAAAATTACACAGCATAAGAGAGAAATTGTTATCAATATCAAAAAAACAACCAAACTCATAGCATATTCTCAAGATGTAAGTTTTTGTTTGGTTTCTTCAAAAGGTGTTCTTTAAAAAACAGTTCTCCTAAAAAGATTTTAAAAATTCTCATTAATATGCAATGCCTGTACTCTGGGAGGTTATACTAGATGGCATCTCAAAAATCAAAGGTTTTCCTTTACCTTGGACTCCCCACCTCCAAGGACGTTCACCATGACCTCCATCACTGTCTCATGCATGCCAAGTGCCCTCATGAGATTAGGGTGCTGGTAGAACACTTTATTATTCATGATATCCCTAGAAAGGACAATACAGGTATGGGGCGAAGCTCAGAGGTTAGAGCAAAATTGAAATAAAAATTGATTTTAGATACTGATAAACCTTTCGGAAATAATTACTGGCATGTACGAAAAAGTGAGAGCAATCATAGATAAGCTACAAAAGTTAATAGCACAATTAATTGAGTTTTTCCCCCAAAATATTGAGAGCCTACCAAAAATACTCTACAAGTTGTCTATTATTTTTCAATTACAATAAATGTACTAAATATGTAAACAGTTTATATGAAATATAGTTTTGGACACATCATTCCTAAATTTGTGGATATCCAAATATGTTCAGCCTTCTATTATACAGAAATATGAATCAGTGTTATACTATGTTTATATGAAAATTCCTGTATAAATTCTTGACATATAAGTATTTCTGCCTTTCATATATATGCTATTTTTAGTACTATATTCAATATTTATATGTATAATTACAGCAGTGTTATTTCCTGTTACATTTACAATATCGTTTTGGTGAAACACCTTTAAAGGATACATATTCTTTTGTACTCAGAGAAACTGAGTACACATGGTCCAGGTACAAGTAATCCAACTCATTAAAATGGACAATCAATTTAAAGAAACAGCAGCAGATGATACCTAAAATGTTTCATATTGCTATTATTGCATTACATATTATTACAATATGTATGTGAAGGTATTTCTAAGGATCTTAACATCTAGTAGTCATTGTAAATAAAGAGTTCTCTTGATTTTTATTTTAACATAAATCAAATCAATGCAAGAGTCTTTTCTATAAAACACTTTCCTATCAGAGCTATAACAAGAAAATAATGCAGAGCCTGCATGAAAACAAACTTTCTCTTTGAATCTAATTTCCTTGAGTCACTCACCTATTCATTTAGTCATACGCTAACTGTTAGTTACTCTGGCTACATCAAGAACATGGAAGAGTATGATTCTTGTATGATTCTTTTATTCTTTGTTTTAGTTTTTCACTTTTAATCTAGTTTTGTTTTAATAAAGAGAGCTTTTAGATAGCACAACTCAGAAAAATGACTTTGGGGCCTAGGACTAATATAGGTCTGATCCAGTTCATGCAAGAACACATAAGGCAAAGAAAGGCATGCTTTTCCTTCATATTAGACAGCAGTCTATTTGGCAAGAGAAGCTTCAACTCTCAAACCACAGTTGCAATCACAGGATTTGTTCTCTCGTTAATTTAAATCCTTTTGCATGACCTAACTTTGGAAAGTATTTAATTGAAAAATCTTATGTGCCGTTAGTTCTAGGTACATTAAATGGATTTATAATTCTACCACCCAGTAGGTGGGTTGAAACTTATTAAGTGTGTCTTTTTGTGGAATATTTCTAAGACCACAAAAAAGTAACCTTTTATTTTGTTTCACATTCATTTTGAGTTTTATCACTACTGACTGATTTATATGTTAACAGTACATAATACTGTTACATGTTCATTTGAGAAAGACAGTGCCTTCCATTTCCTGGAAGCCTTCCTTTTTCATTTAGTTAATTAATATCACTTCTTATGAGAGGCCTCTCCAGGTCAGATTTAAGTATTAGTATTCCAAAAAAGACTCATTCATGCTCAGACAATTATAAATAAAGACCATAAAATTTGCTTTTGTCATTATGGTTTATTTTGTTCTCCCTCTTTGTCCCATTAGTATACTTATTTTTAGCGTGCAACCATTATAACAATTTTGGAATATAACCTTCTAGTTTATTTTTATGATTTCAAATGGGCCCACAGGCAATATATAGTATTGTATTCTGAATTCAAAATGTACATAAATGATATTGATTCTTTGTTTTTTACCTTCAGGATTATTTTTTAGGTCCTTCAGAGAGAACACTTATTCTATTTCATTAGTTTTTTTCAAAGAACCAACTCTAGGTTTTTAAATCCCGTTTATTGTTTCTTTGCATTCTATTTCATCCATGTCAGTAATTATCTTCATTATCTCCTCTTTTATCTGATATATATATAACCAGATTAGCTTTTTTTTTTCTTTTTTTAGCTGAATATTTGTCTTCTACATCCATTTCAACATTCTACATTCCAGATTTCTATATTTTTATGTTTAGATATTTTCTTGCAAATATCACCTAGCTTAATTTAAGTTTTCATTTTTCTCTGATACATTAATTCCCTTATTTTAATGTCCTCAAATTATGCAAGGTTATTAATGATTGCTTAAATTTATGCATATATGCATCAGTAATATACTCTCTAAAACTTATTGCTTTCTGTTCTTTTTCTCTGAATGTCATTTTCTTTTCTCTAGTGTACACCTTTAGAAGGTCTTTCAATGAGAGATTATAAGTAAATATTCTGAAATATCTTTGTTTTGCCCTCACTTTTGAATATGGGATATAAACTCTAATCTTCAAATCCACATGAAGCATGAGCTCACTGTGTTGAATTCTCAGTTGGGTAAAACATTCTAAATTGATGATTATTTTCTGTCAGAACTTTGAATATAGTATTCCATTGAGATATATGATCTCTAGTTTTGCTGTTGAGAATTCTAAATACTGTTTCTTTGCAAGTATTCTGGCTTTTATCTCCACTTGCTTTTGAAATAGTCTATATTTTTTTAATGCACTTTCACTACTGTATATCCAGCTGTGGATGTGGAACTATTTGTGCTTTATGAATCTGTGAATTCACGTTTTTTATCAATTCTGAAAAACTCAAGGCAACAGCTCTTCAAATATTCCCATTCTGTAGTTCATCTACAGTCAGGCATCTCTTAACAACAGGGATATATTCTGAGAAAATGTCATTAGGCAATTTCATCATTGTGCAAACATCATAGAATATACTGAAGGGGAACAAAATTTGCCACCCAAAAATGTGTCTCTTTAACGTGAAGATTATTTTAGGCTAATTACTTTTAAGAAACAAAAGACTCAGAAAGTTTTTCTTGTTACCTCCCCTTTAACTGTCTAAAAGAATTCAGATAAATTCCTGTCTCAGGAAGTGAGCTATCACCTTAGCATACATGAACTAGATGGTAGACGGGGAGGAACCTAGAAAAGCCTGTTTGTTGCCCTCCCCTATTCTTTGTTTCTGTGTGGCCAAACACTTGTTTTCCAAACATTTGCTCCTTTTCACCTACCTGTGCATTGCTTCCTTCGCTTTGAAGTCCCTTACTCCCCTCATCCCTAACAACTTCTTTTGTCTTTAGCTGAGGATAGTATTTAAGGGGAGGGCTTCAGCCATTTTGGCGAGTTGCTCAGTTTTCCTCAGTTTCTCTCATGTATACACGTTGTTAAGCTTTTGTTTGTTTTTCTCCTGTTAATCTGTCTCATGTCAATTTAATTCTTAGACCATCCAGAACAACCTAGAAGAGTAGAGGAAAATTTCTTCCTCCCCTATAGGACTTACATAAACCTAGATAGTATAGCCCGCTACACACCTAGGCTATATGGTCCTAATCTTACGGGACCACTATCATATATGTGGTCCATCGTTGACCAAAACATCATTATGTGGCACATGACTGTATTCTGTCTTTTCTAGAAATCGTGTTCAGCATATGCTGGACCTTCTTATACTATCCCCTAGGTCTCTTAACTTCTCTTTTATATTTCATTATCTTTGTCTCCCAGAACTCCATTACCGAGTAATTTCCTCATATCTATGATCCAATTTATTTTCTCTTCAGCTATATCTTATCTGTAACTTGATTAACTCACTGTTTTTAATGTCAATTATTATAGTTTTCATTTCTACAAGTTCTATTTGGATCTTTTTCAAATCTTCACAGACGTTTTGCATGTCTTATTTTTGGAGATTTATTTATTCCCTTGTATTTTTAACCATTTTAAATACAGTAATTTTGTGTTCTCTTTCTCATATTCTATTATCTGAAGTTCTCGGAGGAGGTGTTCTAACTCATCTATTTATCGTATCTGCAGATGCTTACTTATGGTCGATTGTTTCCTTAGATGCTTTGTAATTTTTGATTGTGGGCTAATCTTTGATAGTATTTGGGTTTTTCCTGCAAGATTTCACAGTGACTTAAGTTAGAAAGCCTCAGGCCAATTTTTATGTTAATTTCTCAGCTTGGGGATCCTTAGACTATGCATGAGGTATAAACATCAACCCCCAAATCCACATAAAGCACAACCTATGATGCTGAACTCTCAGAAGAGCTGTTTTTTTCCCCGTTCTTTTTTCAACACCCAGTAGATACAGACAAACTTCCTTACTAGTTCCTGCTGGTGAGTGTTTGTGCTCCCACAGATTTTAATGAGTTTTTATTAACCCATATTTTTATATATGATGATATATTACTGAGAAATTAATAAAAATACAAATTCTAAGATATTTTCTGTGTATCATAGCCATCTTTGCATCTAGCTGTAAAATTGGTCATGTTTTGTTATTCAGCAACTTTCTGTTTAGCTTTAAAACATAATCTCTAGAAAAACAACAATCTAATTTAATGATCATATAATCTAGACAGTGTATTTGTATTAATGCACCTACTGATTGGAATAAACAATTAAAAAAAGGAAATTTATAAGACAAAGGGTTGTAATAGTAAAATAATTTACCCTAATCCACGAATCATAAGCTTCTCTTCTTCTTTGCCCATTCTCACACTCAGCAGAGAACGAATCTGACCAAG